GCCGTTGTGAGTCGTGGACTCACAACGGCCGCACGCCCACCCTCCGGACCCTACCCGCCTCTCAAGGCTGCCCCACGCGCAGGGGTGTGCTGTCAGAACACCCCGCCACGCGCCGAGCCCACCCACCAGTCAATCGACCGCCCGCCCGCTCGTCAAGCCCCCGCCGCTCGTCAAGCCCGCCGCCGCTCGTTGCCCACCCGCCGTCGATCCCAGCCCACCCCGCCGTTTACGACCGGACGGACGGCTCGACGGTGTGCGTCGTGGACGCACACGCCCCACGCGTTCGCCGCCATGCCCACCGCGCGCCTCCAGCGCCCCATACATCGCCCGCCAGGCCGGTGTGAGTCGGCGACTCACACCGGCTCCTCAAGCCCCTTCTACCGCCTGCCAAGCCCCGTCCCGCTCGTCACGCCTGCCCCACACATCGGGAGGCCCCGCTGACGCACTCCCCCACCCGCCGACCTCGCTCGCTCGCCCTCGTTTGACCCGCCTGCCGAGCCCGCCCACCCGCCAACCATCCCGCCACCTCCCCGCCTTCTACGACTCGACGCACGGGTCGGCGCTGTGCGTCGCCGACGCACACACCCCGCGGCGAGCTCGCTAAGCCCGCGCCCTCGTCGATCCCGCCCACCGGCTATTGAACCCACCCAGCCGCCGTCGATCTCCGCCCACCCCGCCATCTACCGCCCCGGAAGAACACGGCGTGTGCGTCGTCGACGCACACGCCCCACCCGTCTTTTCCGCGCCCACCGGCACCTCTGTCGCGACCGCGATCCCATCCGGCAGGCAGGTGTGAGTCGTCGACTCACACCAACCACACGCCCTCACTCCATGTCCTGCCCGCCCGTCTCGACTCGCCCAGGTGCACGGTTGCCCCATTGTCCCATCCGCCATCCGCCACGCGTCGACCTCGCCACCAACCGCCGTTCAACCCGCTCGCCCGCTCGCGATCACCACCGACCTGCCCGCCGATCCCACGCCTCCCCGTGCGTCGTCGACTCACGCCCCGCCCTTCTCGTTCCACGCCCATGCGCTGCCCTTCCGGGACCACCAGCCCACCGTGCGGGTGTGCGTCGCGGACGCACACCTGCTGTCCGGCCACCTTCTCGCTGGACCCCACCGTTCCGCCGTTCGCAGGCCAGCCTGGCTGTGTGAGTCGCCGACTCACACGGGCGTTCTCCACGCCTACCCGGGTCTCTCGTCAACCCAACGGCCTGTCAAGTCACCCACCCGTTTGCTTGTCAACACGACAGCCTGTCGATGTGTCCGCCCGTTACCTCCGATGCCCCTCAGCCTGTCCGTCGATCTCGGACACGACGAGCGGCTGGGTCCGTCATTGGCGCGCCGAGTCCCAGCTTTTGCTGCGTCACCATCCCGACATGCCAGACCGTCCTGTGGCAAACACAAGGAATGGCTGGGTACGCTTTTGGTGCACCCAGCCATTATATGGTGTTCTGAAAGGGTGGTAAGGATAGGATTAGCGTCAGACTAACCGTCAATGGAGGCAAGGAAACTGTGATTTGTACCCCTGGGATAGTCAGACATGCAACTAAGTAGCAGATTCAATGAGGGTAGACTGTATCGTTGTCAATCGATGCAGTACAGCTACAATATCGCAGAAGAAGCAGCAGAAATATCGTCTCTGGACGATGCGCGCCGACGCGACACATTGGTCGCACGATCAGCACCGTCCGTGAACGATGATGGATGCACGCATCATCTACAAACGATGCAGGGTCGGGCGACACGACACGACAGTCCACAGGCGTGGACGACATCGTCCGTGAACGATGCATGCACGGATCGTCTACAGACGATGGGTCGGGCGACACGACACGACAGTCCACAGGCGTGGACGACATCGTCCGTGAACGATGCATGCACGGATCGTCTACAGACGATGGGTCGGGCGACACGACACGACAGTCCACAGGCGTGGACGACATCGTCCGTGAACGATGCATGCACGGATCGTCTACAGACGATAGGTCGGGCGACACGACACGACAGTCCACAGGCGTGGACGACATCGTCCGTGAACGATGCATGCACGGATCGTCTACAGACGATGGGTCGGGCGACACGACACGACAGTCCACAGGCGTGGACGACATCGTCCGTGAACGATGCATGCACGACCAAGTCCTGTTTGACATCCACCGACAGAATGATGACGTTTCATTGTGTCGCCGCAAAAAGGCGCCGCAACATTCAAAATTTGGTCTTATTCGTGTTCATGTACCATCTGTACCACGTGGAGTGACACGACACGACAGTCGGATACATCCGATCTGTTGTAATGTTCTGCACGCAATTTACGAACTATTTATAGAGACAGGATCAATTGATGCTTCAAGAAAACAAATGTCACACCGTCTTTAAGCGCTGGTATCTGTCGATGTTGACAGTCTGCTCCATCTGCAGAGGGTCCATGCAGAAGCCGTGCCGCCACAGCTAGCCAGATGGTGACTCTAGTAGATTATCGTTGGAGTCACGTCAAATGTTGTAGCATCTGCAATTTGATACACGCCATGGGTTCAGCCCATGGCGTGTATCAAATTGCAGATGCTACAACATTTGACGTGACTCCAACGATAATCTACTAGAGTCACCATCTGGCTAGCTGTGGCAGCACTTTGCATGTGACAGCTCTTGGTGCCTTCCGTCGACACAGACTTCCGACAGTCGACGCTGTTGATGCACATCTGGTCCTCAGTCGCGTCCACACATGCGATTCTCTTTCCTTTTGATCTTCTCATTGACCGTGTTACGGTTCAAGCTGCTACTAGACTACTTACGATTAGTACCGCCCTCTACAGGATGAGCGCACCCGTGAATCATCACAAATCATCCCTCCTTACCAGCTACTGAAGACGGCGACTATCGACCGCCTCTCACGCGCGCATTCCTGATACTCCCAATATACACATGTCTCACTTCAGTTGATTTTATTCCAGACGTACCACCCACAAACTGTACATAGACACTGCAAGACACAATAATAACCCTACTTTATATGCATATTAGCACCAATGACAACCCATCCCACCCAATGAAATTACCTCTACGGAGTTGTACCGAACCAATATATCGCTAGACACACACAACGCAAGCCCCCTCGAGTACATACATAGCAGCTACTTGGAGTCTACATAGGGCTATGCCCTCCTGAAACGATGAACAGGATTTGCAAACAACAACCAGTCGTGTCCAAGCAGTACACGATGATATCTTCATTGATCATGCGGCCTGTGGGCGGTGTCGCGTCCGACTCAGGACAGCCTCCTAAGCGGTCAAACTTGATGGACCTCGACATTTTCATGGGGCGGCTAGATGTGTGAGGGCAGCCGAGTTTAATGGTGACGCTACGAGGTGTGTCCGAATGATCGTAGCGCTCGTTTCCATTACGTTTGTGAAGCCGCGATGTAGGAGCTCTTGCGAGTGTCCGAGTTCGCCGGGTGATGCTTGTTGCCCTTGGCGACGGGCTTAAATAGCACATACCAATTGGTGATGATTCAGCGATTGATGTGATTCACGCGACAGCTATTATTTGAGCCACTATGTCTGACTGTTGCGACGGTTTGCTCTCAACACTGTCAATATCTAAGTGATACTTGGTCGTGTTTAACGTATTGTCATTTAGATTACGAGTACGCTCACTTCATTGCGTAGGATTACTGTTTATACTCTCTTGAATCGACATAGAGGCCTGAGTCGTAGACTAGGGTCGGGTTGCGTCGGAAGCTGGTGCACTATGTGTGTTCAAAGGTTTCTATCACCCATTGGCAATGTACGGAGCGTTGCTAGCGGGAGACACTGTCCATGTCGGGAGTTGCCTACGACACTTGTGCTGGTACTTAGATTAGTTAGGTTAGTTAGCGGGAGACACTGTGCCTGTCGGGAGTGGCCTACGACATTCGTGTGCGTACATTACAGCGACACCAACCGACACGGACCAGTTTGTTGTCGTAGTTGAGATAAATGGATATTGATTCACATACTCAAAGAGAATACCAACAATCCTCATATAGCATTGAGAACAGTGCAAACGTCGGGAGCAAACCACGACAAATGTGTGTTGTCGCGCTATTCCTGCGACAGTCATACAGTGTCGCATACCACTCAAATCTGCCAACGGGTCTTCAAACACTCTCAGGTAACATAACCTTTGCTTTTACGCTGCCTGAAATTCCCTCTTACCTGGACCTTTTGATACAATCAGTAGGTCACAGTTTGTCGACCGTCTCCGACTGTCGGACGACCACGTCTCATCGTACCTCATCCACCCTCATGTCGCCCCGCATACCGCGCTGCCTTGTCTGGATTCGGCCTACCGACAACAAGTTCTCGGCGGCCTACCACGGAGCAAATACACGCAAATGGCGACCTGCAGTGGTCAGCAAAATCGACGTGTTAAAGTCGGGACATATTGCAGGCTTTTGGGTCGCTCCTCTCACAAGCAGTCTCAATCTGAAACTTGTGAGTTGTCTGTCTAATTACATCTCCACGTCATACAAGATTTTAGGTAGTGCGACGCAACCGCCTGGCGCGCAGTTGATTGGGGCCGCCCCGACATTGCGGTTCCCGGCCACAGTTACACCATTCCCTTCCGACTCCCTCTGCGACAGAACGACTCGTTCGGAGCCGTCGCAAGTCATGTCTGGGTTTCCGATCTTGGCCAATTCTTTACCGTCGCGCAGTGGAAGCAGGCTGTTACCGGGGGGCAGGCGAGAATACTCGATTCCGACGTCGCCGTATCCTTAACTCAATTCGCCGCGGTTCGCACGCAGTTGCGAGTATTAGGTACGTATCTACGACATAACGCGACGGCTAATCTAACTGAACCCAGGGAAGGGTGCGCCGTAGATAACGTCGCATCAATATATACATACAGACATGGTACTTAGGCCCTACCGTGTGCAGTCGAAGGTGGGAGTAATGGAGCATGCCGCATGAAACATTCCTTCGATAATGCAGTTGTGCCACAGGGTTGTCAAGCACGGGTAGATGTGGAGCAACATATGGCGAATACAAAGGGGGTGTCTATTGCTTGTGTATGGCTCGCTCGCTGATGCGGTGGCTACGATTTAGGTCGTCAATATCACGCTAGGTACAGCATAATGCCTTGAGAAAACACTATGAAGAATCATGTTCACGCTGGTGAGGGGCTGGCATACACAGTTGCACCAGTGTTATTTGGATACATCGATCGCAGACGATGCGTCAGGAGGCCAATATTCCCTCTGTCGCGAGCTGTTATCGACGTTGGCTTGCAATGTCGCAGAACTCGACAGTTATCGACGTGGAGCCAGTATCATGTGAACCTTAGGCTTGATGATGAGTGCATTCAATTATCTGTCAACGCCGCTTATCCAGTAGGTGTGCACAATGTATTCATGCAATGATCGGGCAAATATCGGCTCCAGCGCTTGGGTCCACGGAACGTTGCGATGTGCAACTGAGCCTTCCAAAGTTCCACGTTCTGATGGACGACGCGTTCGGCCCGGGATGGTTTGATCGCCGATGAGTATGAGAGATACGCCAATTGGGGCGCAGGCATGCGATGGAAAATCTGTCGCTCTCTGCGCCAGCTGCTAAGTCTACTAATAGTATAACTTCCGACATCGTTCTCCGTTTTATCCCTGGACTACGACACCTGCGCACGGCCTACCTCCCTTCATCTTTTGCTTCCATCACCCTCCGACGAACCCCTTCAATGGTGGGCCAATCCTCCATTAGCGACCTACGTAACCACGTATTCCATTTGTCGCCCATGGGAGCCGAAGGTACACGCCAACGTCATGAGATCCTGGAAGATAGGAACCTGTTCAGTGATCTTGCTCCTGCTCCGGATGAGTGGAACACAGAGGTTTTCAATCGCCTTGAACGCACGCTTTGGGCAGCATACAACAGCCCGCTCACCTGGAGGAACTTTGAACTGTTAATTCGCTGTCACGTCCTGGTAAGCAACCAAAGCTGTCGAGATATAGCATCGCACCATTCACTGTACTCATACAGACTCCACCTTGGCTTCGGTCACTGAGGCGTTCTGGACAGGAGCAGAACTTTCCTGTTCTTCTCCTCGCCTTATTCCAATGGATCACTGTCGATCCCTTAATCCCTCACGACGCACACAACATTCGGTGGTTTCTGTTCGAGTATTACAGAATACGGCCGCGTGTCGTCTCGTCCATGGCTAGCCCTGCTGCACATCGTAGAGCATTTGCTCCGATGGCTCTCCGCTGGATATGTATGTCGTCACCTCGATTTTTTCTCATTCGCACTGACTTGTGTCATTTTAGTGAATGATCGTATTGTTGGTGCGTTGTGTTTAAATGTACGCGTGGGCAGTACATCATCGTGTTAAACGCTTGTCAGACGTTCGCGACCCTACAGACCTCGTTACACTGATTACCAATAGACCTGTACAACTGCAGGTTCAAGACGATGATAGCGGTAAGTTCTGACACACACACCATGTATGCCGATAGCCCCAGACACTGACATACTTTACAAAGATGTCGACATTGATTACGATCACGCCATGGGTTATGAACTGAGCGACTGAGACAATGTCGTTGCAGAGGTCGTTGTGTAGCACGTCGAGGGAATGATCGTAGAGTCGGGATTATCCGACAACGAACGTATGCTTGTCATTATCTAACCGATGATGTAACCCCTCCGGAGTCTTGCCCATTCTATGGTATCACATCATGTTTCATGGATTTTCTGTGGTCCTCGCACGGGGTAGGGACGCGTGATCTGAGAATGAAATATGATACATCGTAGTAGATTCATTGGAACTGCAATATCTTGTGAGAACAAGCGGAACGACGTTCGACGAGCGCGAGTGTCCCGGGCGCGGACGATGCCCGAAGGGCAATCGCGTGAGGTAGGTACATCGAAAACTACGGTTTATATACCCTGACCTCCCTTATCTTCATTCAGGAACTATCTCGGCCGAGCTTGCGAGCTCGTGCCTAAACGCATGTTCCAACACACTCCCCCGAGCGAAGCAAGCGAGTGCTCACGCGCACTCCCCGCAGTTCGACATCCGGCACTCCCCCAAGCTCAAATCCTCGTCTTCTCACAGTCATCCAGCTCCGGCACCCATTCCAACACTCCGACATCCGGCCGATAGTCCATGCTCATGCGAGCTCCGACGGGCAACCCTTAGGTGCGAAGGTAAGGCGACAACGTACAGCGGCGCGATCCTCGTCCAAATCCGGCAACTTCACAACATCTCCAGCGACAACAATTCGATCGGCGGTGTCCTCGACGGACAGTTCGGCGGTGCCCTCGGCGGGCGGTTCGGTCATGCCCTCGGCGGGCGGGTCAGACAACGGTTCGGCGGTGGACAGCTGAGCTTCGGCCCTGTCCCGGGCGGTTCGGTTCGACAGGTCGATCGTACGACGTGCGGCGGCGGTGGCGCGCGTGCGGCGTTCAACGGCGGGTTGACGACTTCAGCCTCGTCTAGGCAGGTGGGTCGACGGCGACGGCGGCGGGAGTCTGCGGCATGGCGACGGCCACAGAGTATCGGCGAGCGACAGCATACGCGCGAGGTCCAGCAACGCAGCGAGCGGCGGGCTTTCAGCTGCCCCAGAGCCTTCTGGTAGTAAACCCCCAGGTGGGCTGACGCGATTGTGTGAGAACAAGCGGAACGACGTTCGACGAGCGCGAGTGTCCCGGGCGCGGACGATGCCCGAAGGGCAATCGCGTGAGGTAGGTACATCGAAAACTACGGTTTATATACCCTGACCTCCCTTATCTTCATTCAGGAACTATCTCGGCCGAGCTTGCGAGCTCGTGCCTAAACGCATGTTCCAACATATCTGCCACTTCGCATGTAGGCGAGAGACACACTATGTGACGGATACAGAGGTATGAATCGACTTGCCTGCACTAGGCAAATTGTGGGAGACGTGCGTCAAAGTCATGGCAATTTGCTCGTGACACAGAACACCTCCATCAGGTATCACACAGAATGATAGAAGCCATGCGGTAGGTGTGCTTGGATACATGTACCAGGGTGCACGTTGGGGTCGATTCCGACATGATACCAGCTCTAGTCTACCTAGTGGATCATATTTTCCCCTTTAGGGTCCAGCACAAACACATGCTCCTTGATTTTCCATATGCGACCACCATTGACTCTTATACCATCTTTTGTTTGACGACAAGGGTATGCCCGATGCAATGGCAGAGTTGTACCAGGGGAGGTCAGTCAGCTCACAATGCATCCTAATTGGCACGACATATATGCTTATCGTTGGTTTGTCGCGACGTAGCGTCTCCGACGAACCGACCATGCCAGCATCGAGCAACATAAATGAGGCGCCGAACGACCTGTATGTCAATTCTGATGCGTGAGTGCTCAGGTTTTTGTGATACATCTTGCATGCGACTCTGTTCACCGACCCAGGGGTGTGTATAAGGACATGGACATATACCCGTCTATTCCTACAGAGCAAGTGAGCTCATTCACATCCCTTCACAATGTAGCCTCGGAAATAGATTGACTAACTGGTAGCGCTAAGGGAGCTCCCCTGAACGAACAGCAGTCTGATTTCTTAATCGATTTCCAACCTCCAAACGGTGGACTCGCGGATGCCTTCCAAGCTTGTCCATTGGTCAAACCTGGATCGGACCAATCGTCATGGGGGATCATCCACGCATTGAACTCTTTTTCTACGACAACATTAGCTTGTACAACACTAGTCGCACAGGAGTCGTTGCTTATTCACGTGAATAGCTGTGTCGCTCGTATGGTCTATCTGGAAAATACTAAAGCTCGACATCCACGGTTCTGTTACCAAGCCTTTGTACCTACCAAGCTATTAGAGCTGCGCTATAATAGCAACATCTTGTTATGTGATTCTGGAGTGCTTACTGTGCAGTGTTGCTCAAATCTGTTCGCGCTCCAAGTCTACCTTTCTGAGAACAAACAATAACAATGGTTCCATGGGCTACATATATCGTGTCCCATAGCAACGAATGATACCGCAGTCTATTGTTTAGACGGAATATGTCGCAGACCGCTGTAGGTATTGTCTCCTGCCCATGCCAGTGCTTTGGGTGGCGCATTGGAAATGACGCATGGGGGTACATGAGCATGCTATCAATCGCAGACGATACCTACATTTGCATGTCGCGCTGTGTGCACACAGCGGTGCTAGGTGGGCCCAGTCCCTGATGCTTCGTATTCGTTTCGCTCGGTTGCGCAACATCGTATCTCGAAGCGACATTCGCTTGTGATAACGAGTGATTAGCTTCGGCATGTGGGCGGCTTCTCGATCGCACGACAGATCCCCGTGAATCTCGGATGATCATAGTATATTCACCAATGAATGCTAGGCATTAGAGAGATTTGATTTGCACTGAAACATTGACATCATCGTATTCTCGCTGAACCAATCAAAATTTGGGTCTGGTACCAGTCCTGTCTCCGAGGCCCGGACTAACGTCTGTGCATAATGATTGAGTGTAAAGTAAGACCAGATATGAGTCGAGCTGGTTCAGCGCGGGCGTCTAGAACACTAAGAGCTGCTCAGTGTCCGACAACCGTCGCCACCTTAGTCCGACGGTAACGCGCTACCCCTCGCCCGACGCATTTCTGCACGCCCATAGTCCGACAGTGACACGTTATTCGCAGCCCGACACAACTTTGTGCACTGGCTTGTTATCCAGAGACCTGCTTCAATCAAAAACCCTAGTAGCCAGTATGTCGTCTGCGAAGCCGAAGCCGAAGACCGCGGGCAAGGATGGAAAGCCGAAGAAGGCGAAAGGTGTTTCCTCAGAAGACGCTCGCTCAGTAGACGTCCCAGACATGGTGTCTCCAGCGGGAGCCAAGGGGGAAAGTGAGAATACGGATGAGAGGATCATGTCAAAGGAGGACGCCGATATTTGGGATTCGGTGACGGTGCGTGCTTGGCTCATGCTTGAACTCCGAAAACTTATCATATGGCCTCTAAAGAACCAATGGTCGGAAGTCAGCCCTGCAAAGCTCCTTGAGCTCGATCGTCGGGCGCAGGACGCGTTTCTCGGAACGATGAAGTTCAACATCATCGACAGGAAGTCCATTTCACCACAGTTTGGGAAATACAACAATCGCCCGCTTGACGAGGGGGCGCTATTCCGCCTAAAGGAGAATGTTACTAAGCGGCACGCACACGGCTTCCAGAGCGACTCGCACCTCTTATTCGCTGTGGACAAGGACCACTTACTACACAGCCCTGCCCCTGTCGGAGATGAACTGCTCGGGGATCGTCTCCCAGAGCTGCGCTTCAAGGAGACGATACAGAGGCCCGTTAACGTCGTTGCATTGGCGGGACAGCATCGTCACCGTATGGCCAACGATCTCTACAATATGTGGGGAGAGGAACTTGCGGCGCTCGAGGACGCTTCAGCCAAGTCGGACGACGAAGCAGAGTCGGAGGATGGGAATCAAGACTCCGTTAGGAGTGTCGCGAGTGAGAGGAGCAGGGAGGGGAGAGCAGTGGAACTTGAGAGGATGATGGCTGAGGTGCAGTGGTGGGGAGTTCGGTTATACGATATTCGTAAGTATTCATTACATTTCACGGGCGACACAGCACTCAGCAGCCTGTAAACCACTATTCAGACAAGCTCACCGCGGACGATGAACTGGCAAGGCATTTGTCGCGAAACGATGCGAAGGCACGGCATGGAGAAACGTCGGAAGAGTCGATGATACAGAAGTTGGACTCTATTCGGCGAGCCTTCATGGAGCTTGGAATGGACGCGTTCATGAAGAAGCATCGACTCCTTACCGCCACAAAGCTCAACGTGAACTCTTCGATGTCAAGAATCATAATGAACGTCTATATGCTTCTCATGGTTATCTCAATGACTCGATTTGGCGTACACTTTCGCTCTCAGCCAGAGTTCAAAGTCTCGTGGCTTCGCAACCTCAGCGACACACACGGAACGGTATGTATGATACCCGTGTGCAATCATCATCGACTCACTTAACGGTTGAATCAGCTACTTTCGTGGATCTTCATTCGACAGTGTGATCGTCTGGCACGAGTCGACTGCGTATATACTCTAGAGGAGAAGAGGCGAACTACCGGCACCCACGACGGACCGCCCGTCCAATCGTCGTCCGACAACTCCGAGTCCTCGCAAAGTGGCCGGTGCGGGTGGCCTTCTTTCTACAGTATTCGCAAGGCGATGAACGCCTACGAGAAGGGAACAGGCACCGCATTCAGCGCGGACGAGCTCGCAACGCTTGAAATGAAGTTCTGTCGAGGACGCGAGCGATTCCACGGCATCTTCCAGAACGACGATATTCTCCGAGAGCTCGACGACATCTACGTGAAGACTTTTCGTCGCGCGGAGAATATGTTTCTCATGCTGGGTATAGACGTACAAGAGTACAAGAGTACGCTGATAGAATACCGCGATCAGGTCGTCAAGGCTATACGGAATCGCTTTATCCCTCTGGAGAGGGAGATGTCTGCTCACCGGAAGGCAGAGACACAGAACCGTCCACTGCCTAACGTCTCTGAGGCTGCCCTCAACTACGACCAGATGCTTTCTCGTGTTTACTACAGCCTGTCAGTGCGCGACGACCACGAAGACATCATGCCATTGCCGTTCATGACGATCAGCCTGTTTCGCGATCTACATAAGGCGTTCAGTCGGACTCCAAGGGCTATCAAGGAGGTACGTTCAGTGGTCACTCTAGTTCAGCTGTTTTGGGCTTTGATGTCGCGACGAGGGTCGTATCGATGTTGAACGATGTGACCGTCGCGCGACGGATTAGCCATCGTTGAAACAATCTGCATACAACAATTGTTTGCTGACTGGGATTCAATGTGATTCATAGGTCGCTGGCTGGTTTGAAGGCCTTCACTGGTACTACCAGGGAAGCAACGCAGCCACGCAGGATTTTAACGATGCGACGAACGCCATGTTCATCGCCGTCAAATATTGGACGCAAAATCACCTCACGGACAACCAGCAGCAGTCCATTTTGGATCAGGTATGCACAGCGCAATCATCACCCATTGTCGAGCTGAAGGGAACTCTACGTAGATCGCAGCCGTCTTCATTCTAGGGAAGGCCCTCCTCCTACCAAATGTGGAGATCGAGTTATCCGCTGCATCCATCACTCGACCGACGAAGAAGGACATTATCAAGAAGATGGCTGCGTCGTCAGCACACTGGAAGGACGGTCAGGGTCTATGTCTCTCACCATCCGAAGAAGCCGACAACTTGGCGGAGCTATTCTGGTTCTGGTCGGAAGACAAGGGAACGTATAAGGCCTCCGACCACCTTCAGGGCCTGCTGTACAAGATCGGCGCGAAGGCGTTGCCACGTTCGGGGTACCCTACATCTCTTCCTACAAATCCACTTGGACATAGACTGATCCTCCGTGGCACGAGTAAGAAGGACTTACGACACTGGGAAAATCGCCGCAAGAAATCCTTCGAGTGGCTGTATTCCGCTGCGCTCATCGAGGATGCGATAGCCCAAGCATGTCATAATCAAGTCGACATGGGGAACTCGTTCTTTGCCCTGCGACATCTTCTGTGGGACGCAATGAACATGTTTTACGACGAAGATGAACTCCCCACCAAGGGTTTCGTCTTTTGGGACGACGATATCGATGAGCCGGATGACTTCGACATCACGATACATGGGTGGACATCTGTGACAGAGATGAAGATCACGCTTATTGGAAGTGCATTGCAGAGTACTCAAGGGACTGAGACAGAGCGCAAACAGCTTCAAGATCTTGTGTCGTCGCTTGAATCCCATGCGCTTGGGAAATACCGTCTCACTGCAGACGGAAGGTTCAACAAAGCACAGGCAATTTCGTTGGAGTGGACATTAGCTATCGACGCGATCAAACAGGCGAGTAATACAATACAAATCTATGATTCAGGAGTCCTGAACAAGTCCGTATGTCGGAATCAAGGCTGCCATTCAAACCTGCACCCGTCGCCGACAGTGGAAGAGTGGCACGTCGGAGAGTCTGCCCTTTAGTCGAGGTGCCATCGACTACTATCCTGTTGAGCAACGTGTCGGGCATGAGTCCCATTCTGCGAGTGTTGGGACGATATTTCGCGTGAGCATATCATACCGAATCTCGCGACACGTCTGTCCTCATCTAATTACCAATGGCATGCTGTAGTGGCCGAAGCGTCCTGGCCTTGACGGCGAACTGCTCGCTGTTGAGGGAGAGCGCAGCTATATCAATCAGCAAAACGGTGATCGCCCAGCAAAGGCGCCAGTGCCAACCAAACGACGCAACACAGATGTCGAGGACCCTGTACGAGGTGAGAGAATAACGCGACATGGTGCAACCGCTCGACTTATATCACTTAACACGTCCCAGCTACCGCAACCACAGTACGCGTACGTCAACAATCTTCAACAATCGCAAGCTCTGTGGACGTTTACGACAGCAATGCGGATGGAGAAGGTGACACCGACAGTGATTTCGCCAACCATGATGAGCCGTACTTGGAGATGACTACTCCGAAGAACATGGCATCGAGCAAGAGTGGTGGTTCGTTGGGGACGGAAAACGATCATAATGGAAAGAATGATGATGTCCCTCTGGTGAGTGGTCGCTGCTAATTGCGTTCACCGTGAAGACGTACATGCTTATGCTGAACATTGTCTCAGGTCGAGTTACGAAGTGCGGAACACAAGCATCGGACAGATATTGCGCCCGTACAGCCCATGCAGATTGGTAACGCTTCGACAGACAGTGCGCGCGTCGAGCCTATGCAGATCGTCAAGAAATCCAAGTATCCATCGCATGCTGAGGACAATTCCGGTGAGTCGCCACATTATATGGGGATATTGCACCATGCATCTATCGTTGCAAGTGATGCGCCTCGACATGTCTCGGGCGTCCCTTTGTCGCTCCAAAATCATTTCGACTCGCTGCACTTACATTTCGAATGGCGGTTCATGTTAACATATTGCAGCTTCCGCGAAGAAAGAACGTGGCTTTCGTCCGGCTCCAGTCAATACTGCGCCTTCGGGAACGTTTACGTTGGCCAGCGAGGATAAATCAGGTACGTAGATATCATGCAACATGCCTATGGTCACGGTTGGAACGGACAGAGACATGTTTCTCAAAGTCGGTGATACGGAGGATGTGCAAGCTTCACGTCGTCGGAAGGCACTTGTGTACGATTTCAATGCACCTTCGAAAGAGACACCACCAAGCGCAGCTTCAATTTCACGGCTGAGGGGAAATATGAAAGCGAGATTTATCCCAGTCGAGGGTCACCGCCGTGAGCTGATTTGACGGAGAACATGTCTCTCACTCCGGCTCATTAACTCTGTGACTCTGTATTCATTCATCAGAAACCAAACTAATGACCGATCGTATTTTTCTAGCCCGACAGAACTCCACCAGCAAATGGCAGCCAGATGTATTTCTTGACTCATTCTCTGATGATGAGCAAGAACAGCCAGTCACTGCATTGAAGCAAAAGCCAGTTGTCGATGCTAGGAATGGGACGAAGACACGGGAGATACGTCTGGACTCAAAGACGAGCAAGGAGTATGTTTCAGATGCTACAGGTGAGTAAAATCCTCGAGACACACATTTTCGTTGTGCTCACTAGCACAAGTGGTACCGTCAAAGCGGGGGCACGACAATAACGGAGGCGCGACGAATGATGGAAAGCGGCAAAGGGTTTCTCCCGAGCGCCCAAGCACCAGTAAATTGTCGCGTGCTCAAGACAAGAAGAATCTGGCTTCCAGTCGAGCTACAGGAACGTCGCGTGGCTGTGAGTTGCATACATCCGATGCTTACCCGCGACACTGATGTACTGGCACAACAGCAAGGGGAGCTCCGAATACTGTGTCGGACGATGAAGATGAGCTTTTGAGTTTCACGCCTGTCACAGAACCGGCGATGAAGAAGAAAAAGAAAAGCAAGAATGCGGAAAAGGTGAAGAAGACTGTTTCTGATATCTAGATTCTTTGACATATCATCTGTCGCGACCGTATCAGAGACCGAACCCTACGTAGTTATTTGATCTAGTCCGCGCTGTGGTCAACCTCGCTCTATTCTTCACGAAATCCAGTATACAGTATCGGAGAACAAGGATATCCCTGCTCAGCCCTCACATGTATCGCAGTAGTAAATGTTTTGGTAAGAGTGGATGCACTGAGGAGGGACGGACTTGAGGCCGACATGTGCTCGCTACCACTCCTGTCGGCTGAACTATTCCGACGTATCAGGTAAATACAGCGACGATCAAACGGGGTCATCCGCAGCTGCCGGACAAGCACATGCTGCGGTCTCCTCGGAATTTTAGAGCCGAAGAACCGGTACGCAAACTGGCGGTCAAGCGAAGATACAACCTTCGCTCCCAACTCTCATCGTCACCAGCATTGCGACACTCCTCGTTTTCTGCACGCCGATACCATGGACTTAGCTGAGGAGGTCCCCAATGGTGACGATGGCATGTGCGTGTTATTACTTACCACTGCTGCGAGCCCATCTGATACTCCTTCCTGAACTTATGTAGCGACATCTCGGAGGAGGGATCTGAGGACCCATTGCCTCCGAATGAAGTGTTAAACCAGTTGGTCGACCGACCTGACGCGTAAGTGACGTGTGACACTACCATGTAAAATGACTGCTTAATAACTGCTTCATCAGGGAAAACGATGACGGAGACTTCCAGCGTGCTTTGGTAGGGAGGGCTGGGCCGTTCGACCTGTCAGAAGTGCCAGATGCAATTGTCGCCGATTCCAACATTCAACAAAAGGACATTTATACGACGATGCTCTACGGGAACGCGTTGGCGGAGAGTCGGACGGACTGGGACCGGATGTATCGCAAGTCTATGCGTCTGTCGGACCTACGCAAGATCTTCGAGAAAAAGATGTCGACTCGCGCGATGGAGCTTCTCTCAATGCGGGTGGACCTCACCATTGATGACCACTACACGATTGACCCCAAGAGTCCCGATCTGTTATGGGACATCAGCAGTCACAACCTCGATTTCTTTGCGGCGGTCTCGCGCGACGTCGGCCTTGACGCTGCGATCCCAGGCGTGCGCACGGACCACAACTGGGCCGCGACAATTGATCTACATCGCTCGTATCGTTCATTCAAGGCGCGCTACGTAGACCTCGGTTTCAATTCCCATGGACGCATGCTGTACTTTGGACGCGTCGGATCGCTAGAGCTCTGGCTTGCGTTTCGTCCCCGAGACGACTTTGAGGTTGACCCTGCTGTGGAGAAGGCGCGGACCGCGGAGATGAGGCAGAAGTATGGAAGGGACGGTCACGACACTCGCCTAATGCCACATCATGTCCAGATTGTGCTTCTATTCCTCTCAAAGATGCTCGCGACGCTCCGTAGCCATCACATCGTAGTTAGCCACGATTGGGGCCTCCCAGCAGCAAAGTCCGACCCTCATCGCCTGAGTGCAAAGGCCTCCACAAATGCGCTGTAAGCTCTACACATATACGTCGTTCGTGACAAATATCTGACGACGCTCAATCATCCTTCCTCGTTCCAATCAACATGACCACACTTGCATCGGAAACTCCTCTTGCGACAATGCCTGTCTCTGTCGCCGTCCTGATGCGATCGTTTCACCTCGCGCATGGCAAACGTTGCATCCCATCACGCAACAGCGACTCACCCTCAATCGAGCTCAATCTTGCCGACTTCAGGCAGCTTTCCTTCGTCATTGGCGCAAACTGGGCGGGTTGGACGAGGAAGGTCCCAATGGCGTGGAAGGCAGACGGATTTCTTCTGGGCCACGAGCCCATATCCGTCGTCTGTCGCTATGGTCAGAATACACCCATTGGAGGAGCTGGTATGGAGGATATCGAGATGGAAAACTGGCGCAGGGATCGTAACTACCGCAAGATTCGCTACGTGGCATTTGCTATCGCATCGCAGATTTCGTACGTTTCCTGTGTTTTTGGGAATACTGTACAGACAGCTGACTGATTCTTCTTCGCAGATGTTCAGAGGTTGAGGAATGGGAAGAGAGACCAATCGAGGATGTCATGCGGAGAGCGCCTCTGTACGACTCTCCAGATCCTCGAGTTCGGGAGCCGATTGAGGACCTTGCTGAAGTGCCTCTGCGGGACGAGGACGGCCGTGAGATTAATTTATATGACGCTCACGGGCGTCGGGTTCCTCGTCTGCAGGTTGCACCATTTGCCGACACGAAGATATGCGACGTGAAGGTCAACCTTCGTACCATTGGAAACGCGTTCAAGGCAGATTATGGTCAGCAATACGCAATGGACGAGTACAACGCAGACAATCAGGGAGCCGACGACCCCAACGAGGTCGCGTACGAGGGTGATGATGGCGATCAGGTGGGGGTGCGCGATGGCAACGATGATCATTGGAATGCTCAACATAAGTTTCAGGACGACGATTCACGGTGGGACAACTATGACAATGTCTTGGGCGATGATGGCCCTGTGGAGCCAACGATCTCCGTCTACCCCCAGGCGTTTATCAGGCACATCGGGAATATGCAGGCAACAGGTCCCCCGACATCGCTCAACCCTTTCATCAAAGCAATCAACAATCGATATCGCGACAAGCGTCGTCGCAGTCACCTGGAATCCGGTGCGCGACGACACCGACGTCGCAGCGACAGTTCCTCTGACAACGGTCGGGATGAAGTTGGAGACGATGGCGAGGGGCGCGGCGACAGCGATGATGACGACAACGACAACGACAACGACGACAACGACGACGACAACGACGACAACGACCACCACGACAGTCACATCAAAGCTCTTACTGCTGTCGCATTCCAGGGTTACTCAAAGATTTCGCATCGCGTACGTCCCTCAGCAGGAATGCACGAAACTACACACGGCCTGGGAGGAATGGCGCTCGCAGGTGCTTACACTGCCAAGGGGCCAGCACGACGGGTCTTTCAAAACGTCTACAGCAAGGTGGCAAATGGCATGCCACATCACCGGTACAATGAACGCATTCTGGAGCACGACGCTCCCCGGGAGCTTAGGGTGGAAACCGCCTATCAGGTGGACATGAACGCCCTCACTCATGAGGAGCGGACTGGCGTGTAAGTGGAGCACATAGATAAACAGGATATAACTGACATTTAATACAGCGGCCTCTATCAAAACATCCTGCTACCTTTGGTAAATGCCTGGACTCACCCTCGTGTTATCGACGAGTTCAAGCAGCATCTGGTCGTATTCAAGGGCGAGGTACGTGATTGATTCTGGGGTAATGATGGCCCTTCATCAGCTGGAAACTCAAACGTCCGACTTAGGTGTCGCCGGCATACACTGCATGGACGACGTATGGCGTCACATGTGTTCTAGAGAAGATCTGGGACCTGAACAAGGACAAGGTTGAAAATGTCGTCAACAATCCAGCTGCCGATCACAAAGACGAAGACCTTCCACCTGTTTCCGACATCGAGATCATGGCACTCTGGGAGCGCATCTTAGCCTATGCACACACTGGGAATGCGAAGGTGTTATCACCGGCGCTCATGCGCCGGACACTTCTCCTCATTAGCCTCCTCTCCCAAGGCCTCCCTACAGTTGATCCTCAGGTTATGTCGGTCACTCCCAATCGCGCGACGGCGGTGTTCATCCGACCGGAGCACTGGCCCATGAAGGCAGACAGCAAGGAGCCAGCTAACGCTTCCAAGAGAGCGCAGACGCTCACATACGGACAAGCTCATTTTGAGGTGAGTGCACGGTTTCAGTCTGTTAGGAACTTCTTTTTGTGTCGGCGACACGACATTCGTCGACGAAATTGTCGATGCGGCGATGTCATAGGACGCGTGGTCCGCATGTGCTGCGTTTTACGTGGCTCACTCCTGGACTCAACAGTATTGATTGTCGACGACGCCGACATTCGGGATGTTTCGCCAGCTTGTCGTACCACCCATGTCGCAAACAGTTCACTTACGCCGTGTATTGCAGATGGTATTCACTCGCCTCCGGATTTATCTTGCCTCCTACCACATGGCAGCGAATAGATATCTAACACTTAGTGGACCGCTGCGACACGCTGCCATCATCGGCGAGATCTTTCTGCACATCTTCATCGCCGACATCAAGAGACTTGTGGCCACATCAGTGAAGGAGAACCTCGCTAAGCAGGTCAGGAATCGTCCGATTACCGAATCGTCGCTGGGCGGCGGACCCGACATTATAGTACGTCAGGAGCGAGAGGCTCGCCAGAAGTTCCTCGATCGGTGGATGTCTGCGTCGCGCCCTCTCTCGTTCACGCCTGGTGACACAATGGCCGCTCTCCTTATGGCGATCACCGAGGACGCGTCTACGATAGGACTTGGACTCCCTAATCCGACGCATCAGCAACTCAGCTTACGCGAATTCGTCCAACATCTCTACCGTATGGGAAGGCCGACCAATCCGGATACGTTGCAGTCGCCCCTGGCGAATGGAGGATCGGCAGCTAGCGTTCTGCGCGTCGCAGTGAACGCAATGATCGCACATGCACCACGGGATATGCGGGAGGAAACAATAAGTCCCACGATCAAGCGCATGCGTAGCGAGGCTCTCGAGAAATGGGTGTGCAGGGCGTTCGCCAATGCTGTGCAGGAGCTCCAGATTCACTTTGTGCCTGCCAAATCGGCATCTACCCAAGGTCGTCCGGGCCGGTGGGCATGCGCCTTCTCATGGGAGACACTCGGAAAGGCCGATGCCCAGAGCGACCTTCTCAGAGAGCAGGCTATCGATGCGGCGCTGACGCCGGTACAAATCAACAACAGGAATGCTTTGGAGGCTAGTCGGCGCGCTGCAAATGATCACGTTCATGTGAAATGGAGTGCAAGCGCGACGCCCCTCCAGGATCTTGGGGAAGCCATGCGCCGTGAAAAGCTTCCTGAGGAGTTCGAGTTGCCCCCCAACGTGCTGCAGCTCCCCGGAGAGCCCAGCGCGAAGTACGTCCGCGACACGTATACGTGGGTCCGTAGAAACTTCGCGCACGACAACCCAGTCCACAAGCTCGCTCTCCTATGCGGCATTGTCATCTCAAAGGTTCTACCAAAGGTGTTTTACGACGAGGGTGCCGCTGATGCAGTGCTTACTGGGATGACTTCGTCGGAGACGATCAAGATCATACGCAACCTGCCTTGGATCGCTAAAGATGGGGAGACGGATAATGGGCGCGGCGTGGAGACGTCCTATCGGAGAGGTGCCAGCGATCCCGGGCCGTATCTAGTAGGATTCGTCACTGCCATGATTGCCTTTCTCGAGCCGGAATCGCCTTTGCGACAGCACTTCGCGGTCGCTCGCGCTTTGGGTAAACCATGGACAAAGAGGAACAGCGCAAAGGGGATCGGACACCTCTTGTTTGCACGCATGGGCCTGGCATGGGTCAAAGGCGGTCGGAGCTGCTTTCGAGCCTGTAGATTTATCAACGACTGGAACTTCCACGACAGGGCCACGCTGATCAAGATGTACGACAGCTTCACGGCCTCCTTAGGTGATCTGCCGCATGGCCCCTTTGACGTCGCGTTGAAGCTTCTTGGTGCTAAACAAGCTTTGGACCTTGCCCATGACGGGCGGATGTGCTACGCTCGCGCTGGAATCGACGAATCGGTGAGGTTGAACGTTGACATTCTCGACTCTCATTTGCCACCTTCGTCTCCACCGATGTCCATCTTTGACGACGACGAATGGGAAGACGATACACGCTCAGGACGTTCGACGAAGCGGAAGTCGGCCAAGCGCTCATACGAGACTGCATTTGACGTCGACGAGTTCGAGCCCGGCCCATCGAGCAGAGTGCAGCGTCGTCGCCGATCGTAACGAGTGTCGGATGGTATGGGGCGGATCACGAGCACTTTTGAACGAAGCGCGATAGGTAATCGATTGCATGTACTCAGTATCCAGTAGTCGCGATAGGAACGTTCACATAACATGATGTATGAGATTCCCGAGTACACTTCATTGCGGTCACGACTTGTCGAGATGACGGGACGTGTCGCGTGTGCGACTCGTCTGTCGCACATTACCCAATCTCCTGTAATCGTTTCAAAAACCATAAAAGAACGCACATTTGGCTGCTGCGAGCCACGGAATGTCCCGACATAACGTCTTCTACGCACATGTTATTTTGTTGTCGCCAATGTCTATCCCCACCTCCCAAGTAATTTCCCCGCTTACATCGTCGTGCGTGAGTATCATTTAAAACCGGTGCGCTGTTCGGTAGGACAGGCTTTCGATTGACAAATTGAAGGTTTTATCATCACGATTCAGTCCAAATTACACTGTTCACCGTACGACCGTATTCTGCACTCTCGCCATAAGGTGTTCCAAACTCTCTTTCTGGTGTCTCAGAACGGCAAGCCTCGCACAGACACTTGCAAGATCCTCTGTCGCCGCACGATGCAACGCGTTCGCGTCTGTGCCATTGCTTCCGAGATGCTCCATCGGATCCTTTCCTGAGCGGGCAACGGTAGAAGCTGAAGGTGCGTCATGGTTTGAGATGGGTATGTCGACATCCACCTCTCTTGGCGCAGCAGGAAAGGAATCGACGATAGCCCCACTCGCAGGATCATCGGCCTCCGTTTTGGCGATATCCTTCATATGATCCATATGCCATTCTGGTGCTGCTGAGACCGCTTGTGTCTTCATACGATGTTTTCCGTCGTCATAATTGTGCTGCTGGCTAACATTCGCCTCGCTCGCACGCTTCCTTCTGTCGACCTCATTCGCTCGATCTACATGATGTGGATATGTCAACATGTGTCATTGCATACGTAAATGAACGTATACCTTCACGTCTAGATCGAGCCACTTTGATAACATTTCCTCGCGACTTTAGATCTCCCTCGGCGCCGATCGAGGAAGCCGGATGTCGAGACGGAACTGGAAGTGGGCCGACTGGTTCGACATCTGCATCGCCGTTCTCCTACAATATCACAGATAGGATTGGAGGCTGTATACACAGTGTTATGTGGCTGACGAGCGCACCTGATTCCTCCTATGAGATGCAGTCAACCCGTTGTCAACTGACACCTCCATCGCATCTATTGCAATTGCTTGGTTCAGCGCCATAGTCAAATGAGACCACTATAAATGCATACCTGTGATCACTGGTGCTGATATTGAATTTCCGACACTGGTGGAGTCTACGTGCGTTGACGGCGCCTGGGCGCGCGCAGCCGACGCTGATTTGGTGCCAACCTTTGTACGAAGGCGACGGCTGGGTTGAGTCGTTCGCAAGTTTGTATCGCTCCTGCGACCCATGACAGTCGTCGGACGTTCAGCTCCATATTTCTTCATATGTGCGCTCAGCTGGGGTACAGAGACCTTCGCCCAGACTCGGAATTCGTCGGTCGCATATTTACTGACAGTCTCTGCAGCCTGACGTATACCGTTTACGACCGCGGCGTCATCAAGGCTGTCCTGCGCACGATTGCGAGTGGCATCATAAACGAGCTTCGTCATGTCAGCGTGTAGCGTCCAGTTGCTAAATGAAGGATCACTTACCATTTTCTCCTTGAACTTCTCCGCCCAGTCTACCATCTCGGCCGTGTCCGTTGGCACGGGACTGTCCTTGAAGAAGTGAAGAACGATCTCTGCTGGTGATGACATGAGTTCAATGGACAGCGTCGACGCTGGTAGTCGCAGGAGAGGATGGAAGGGAAAGACATGGGACCCTGGGAAAGCTATGCGTAAATTTAGGTCAGAGGCTGAGTGAGCGGAGTATCTATTCAGCAGGGCCCCCGTGATATTATCGACCACAGCAGTTTATTAACGCTGATTCAAAGGCTTGACTATACATACATATCCTACATCACTGACCGCAGCGGCTATGGCCACTATGTTACAACAAGTCATTGTTTTTGCCTTTACAGCTATTGCGAGTAGTTGATTTGTGCGACTCACAATCCAAAACATGAAAATCAAGCACTCATTGATTGTTCGTCTTCGTGGACAATCGATCAGAATGTACCGACTCCGTCTGCTCAACCGACAACTTCCAGACATCGCAGTGTCCTGCCCCTAAAGCAATAGCATATGTTGCAAACGGTTCCAGACAAGGAGATTACTCCAATGCACAGCGAAAACAACTCTGAGGCTGGGTATCATGCATTAACAATGTTTACAATCCTCTGGTAGCCGATACTGACGAGGCTGCATCACTCAACAAGGATCTTCGAAACAAGAATGTACGTAAGCCATTACCGCAGGGAATGCGACGAGTACTTACCCTCGTTGGGCGCGACATTCGCTTGGGAGGCCGTTTCAGTCGCCGATGTTATCGCTGAACCGCCTGGCAGTTGTGGCGACGATGCGACGCGGAAATGCCCAGCCTGTATCATGCCTCGCCGTTGTACCTGCTGAAACTGTATCTGATAGTCGGCCAGCCGCTCGTTTAGCCAACGATGCTCCTGCTCCAAGGTCGTAATCTTCGCAGCCACGGCAGTGCGCTGCTGTGTGATGTTCGCGACAATGTTCTCCAGAATAGAAACGGCAGATCGTGGATCATGTACACCACATGGCACAGTCTGCGGGTATGGTGCAGAGGTAGGGAAAGACCCATCCTGGATATTGAAATTGTACTCTTAGTTCTAACAGTAGCAGATCGGTGGTCGAGGACAGGTCACTCACGTGCTCGGTAGATGTGATGCTGGAGGATGTAATCGCCGTCGCGCTCGGTGCCTCCAGTGGGTCCGACACCAGGAATGGGGCAGCTGCGCTGTCGCTCGCGTTTGAGGTTTGGACGTTGTCGCGTTTCGTTCGTTTAGGCATGGGCGCACTTTCTGTGAGGTCCGCGCGGTCGTGTTTTCCGGAAGGAGTCTTTCCCGCCTCTGACGACTCAGCTGGTATGACGTCCGCCTTCTCAACGCTCTCATTGTCCTTCAGTACGAACGTGCCCGTCTGTATGGGTGGGGCCCTGGTATGCGCCGACTCCGACGGTCTATTCCTAGATGGCCGGCTGTGTGGAGGGTGTTTCTCGTCGACGTCGGCGACCTCCTTTCCCGTACTGTCTATAAAATCGCCACCACGGCTCTCCTGCGTCGCGCCCGAAATCTCTGGTCGGGTTAAGCGGATTCAGGGTGCTGTAGCCGTGAAAACACGTATTGTACTTGTCGTACTCACTTTGCGTTCCATTGAGAGAATACCCATTGAAGTAGCATCCTTTCCCAGCGCTCCTACACGTCCCACATGATCCGGTACCGTTATCGACAATGCATTCCCTGACCGCGCGTACTGCCATTCTGCAGTAGTCGCACTATCGTGTATCGATCTTTCATCAGATAGACGACTAGGTGTTGGTTGACACGCACCTTGTTCAGTGTTTCTCGCCACTGCTCTGCCTTCTCTTTAATTGCATTTTTTGCCGCTTCTTTCAGTACCTTCCAGCCAGTGCTCACGTCCGCAGGCTGGGGAAAAGAGTGGGACTTCACTTGACCCTCTACCTCGTTGTTGACCCCTTTTCTGTCGTCGTGAATTGTATCTCCACGCTCTACCTGCTCCTCATCTATCCCACCACCCTCTCCACCAGTAGGATCATCAGGCCTGCTGCCGTTGTCGCCACTCGCAAGGTCTCCGCCAACACTTGTGCCCTGACTGGGCCAATGTGAACTAGATTTTTCGAGCAGCTCAGGCCATGCCGTTCGAAGCCATCTCTTCAGTTGCTTGTTGGTCCCACTTCCATTCAGAAGTTGAGTGATCCTGTTCAGAGTGACCAGAATCCACGTAGGCACAGCCTTTTGGCCAGTGTATATCCCTTTGTGGACTCCGTATACCACCTTGAATATAGAAGTTGTGAAACTGACCAGTAGCTCTATGGGTTGGTTTCATACGCACAAGGGCACCGCGCAGCCTTCCAAGCGTCTCCTTTGCAGACGATAACTTCCTGAACAATTCGTCCGTGCACATATCGCCCCACTTGTCGATTTCATCGTTGAGATCCTCTTGTGCGACGGGACCGTATGTTGGCTGCATAGCGACAAGTCTGAACAGTAGCTCTGGTAGAGGCAATCGATACACCTGGAGAGGTCACACGCAGGTGCGTGTACATGTGCTCACGAGTGCGTATTTGTCAGCGCCTAGCGACAGCCAAGCACGTGTCTGGGGAGATGGTCAATGGCATGAAATCGTATAAGTCACTTCGAAGGAGCTTGCTATATTGTCGGACATCGGAACAAGCTATTTATGATGGGTAGGGTGTCTGGATGTTGCATGGTGTACAGTCCATATATGGTGCAGTGTGCTACGTCGCTAACCAATGGTGCGCGTATACGACAGAGATCTTGTCGGAATGAATGTCTGAAAAGATGTGAGCCTGTAACTCATGTATCCTGTATGACGGGAGTGTAGGTCGGAGAATGTCACACGAGTCAGCATTAATACTATGTGCGACACTGCACTTAGCGAGATGGAGTACCTGCTACAGGTCCCGCGATGCGATCCCATTTGTGCGATAAAGCCTTCCAAGACAAACAGAATGAGCTTCGTTTAGTTCGCTCATGTTTTGGTATAGCTAATCTAGTCAACATCCACAGTGCCTCCGAGTTGCGAAACTATGTATCTGATCCCTGTGGCCTGCTCCTCCAACCTCTGAATGTTTTGTCGGACCGACTTAAGCTCCATTTCTGCGGCACTACGAATACTGTCACCCCCGTCATGAACAGGACCCAGCTCACTTGGTCTGACAGTGTGGTTGTCAAGTACCGCGATACTGTCGATGTGCCCACCATGTCGATTGGCAATGAACATGTTACGGCAATTTGACACACTCTGTGACTCTTTTCCTAAATTTATAGTTGGTTAAACTCCACTGTATGAGCACGTCAAGTTGTATCACCTTTGTAGTGCCTGTCCGACATTGAGAATCCATCCCACAGACATTTCTGCTCGTCGTAATCGCATTTCTCGCACATAAGACTTCCGTCTTGAATAAAGCAATAGTGTGGCTTTCCCCAAGTCATCACACAGCGGTCGCACTGCTTCCCAACGCTAAGCCATGTTTCCGAATATCTGTTGCAATTAAGCTGACGTACCGCGTCGTTCCGTTCATAAGCCTCATACGCGCGACTGACCATTTCGTCGATATCCATCTCTAGAGCGTCTTCGACAGTGCCTGAATCATCACTGTCGCAGACGCCGCACAATCTATCGTGTCGTCGCGCAGCATCAACTAGTTCCGAAAAGTTCCACTCGGCCCACATGCGAAGCTTCCCCTTCACTCTGTGAGCGACTGGTTCGAGTGCTTGCATTACATCCGTCCAGAGCACCTCGTTGCGAGGAACCATCCTTGTCCTCCATTTATAGAGTCTCTAAAAAGTACAGGTTGAGTGACGACGTTGACAGCCAAAGCTGTGAGCTCTCACCAGGGTATCACAGAATGTTTCTATCCATTGTGGAAGTAATTTAATGTCGCGGGGGCAGGGATTTGCAGCTATAAAGCTAGCCAGCTTGGAGTCAGGCGTGTCGCGCCCTTGATCATTGGACATGAATGGATGGTGACCGTGGCAATCAAAGTTGATGAAATCTCCCTCAAGGGTATACATCACTTAATTATGTCACCTCTACGCACGCGTACCTCGAAATTGATCACGTTACTTGCCAATATCAACCCTCTGCCCCGATGGAAGTCCAGTGAGCTGTTCAATGACCGATGTTGACATCGGTGTTTCAGGACGCCACCACCAAGTGTAGAATGGTATGCACCAAGCCTCTCTTGGATGCGCATACCTTTACTAGACGACGTCCACCCCAGGGACTATTCTTGTGACGATAACTACGTATATGCATTGTGATTTCCCTTGTAGCAGTGTCGCAAGATATGCATCTAGCGCGAGGTCATCTGGGGCTACTTTACGTCGCAGTCCTAGTATTTCTGAAGAACTGACGGTACGTTCCATCGGTTCGCTCGTAGCCTACATACGATCGATACGAAATGACAGATGGTTGTGTTTTCAGGGAGTTTGTGTCAACTTTGCGTGTCGCGCCACTCCTACAACTCCAACGACGAGATGAGCTCTATCAATGACCGTTTCCGATGGCTGAGCACGACGATTTGCGCCTTCACATATCGCAATTCGTCCGACGCAGCGTCGTACAACGAAGCGTTTCCGATGGAATCCTCGGCTTGGTCATTGTCGTGCTGGCCTCCAAAGTTCCAGCTGTTGTCGAATGTCGCCATAGTCATTGCGGGCGATCGAGATACTGAGCGCTCCAGTCGTGCTCTCTTTGAAACCTCTTTCGAAACATCTGAAGATTGGTACGGCGTGAACTCGTCTCTCAAAATTGTAGACAATCAGCCCTTACCATGACTTGCCCTGGGCAATCCTTCCCACAGACAGTTCAGTCGATCAACCACGCACTGTCGGCAGGCAGACGAGCCCAACTCAATTTCACACGACTCTTCATCCTTTGGCCATTGCTTGCAGTTGTCACACTGCTGAGTTGACATCAGAAGCGATCTGTCGACGCGTCAAATGGAGAAACGTACCTGTGGAGTCGACTCGTCTGTGGCATGAGTACTTTCCGTCAAGCTCGCTTCCGACGCAGTCCTTTTCCCGGAAACGCCGTGTGCCATGGAGCGTCCCTCACGATGAGCCTGAACGTCAGGTATAGTAGCGACCTGGTTGCTTCCAGTGGAAGATCCTCCTCCGACTGTCAGACTTGTGGACTCAACGATTGGAGAGTGCGCTTCGCTTGATGAATTAGTATTATCTGTCTGGGATTATGTGTTAGTGCAATTCAAGATTGTTTGATGTCCGTACATACCTGGTCCTGTGCTACAACAGCATGAGCCACCATGTTTGCGAAGCTGGGAAATGCACTGCCCAACCACGTGAAATATTTTGGCGTTCCGCGTGCGCCCAGAGTAACCCACACATTCATAATTGCTGCCTTCTGTCTGAGTGCGTCTTCTCCCTGAGCCTCGTCTCCTCGCAGCGCAACTTTGAACTTGCGCTACTGTCATGAAGCTCGTGCCAGTCTGAGATGAAACGCACACTTACTGTTGCTGCTTTGAAGCGGACAGTCCAGTCAGCGAGGTCGTCCTCGTGGAACGGTATTTTGTTGCTCTCCAGCCATGTTAAGAACTCTTGCAGGGGAGGTAAAATAGCCAGCGACGACATCTCCCGACGAAGTTTAGGAGCGAGCAATGGAGCAATAGTGTCGACAGGACCCCAGAACTTGAAGACATCCCACACCAAGGTTTCGCACGGAGTGTGATAAAATGCAGGCACATTGTTCTCCCGGGTCATTGGGATATCTGAGAGCCGTGCCGAATACTTTGATCCCTCAGTGATCCACTTCAGTGGCGGGCGCTCCTGCATTGATTTCCATAGTGGAGGAAACTGCGCACATAACAACGGTCTCTGGAGCGACCCAGCACCGTTGTGAAATAATGTGACACTTTTTGTAGGGTCCGTTTTCTCTTGAATACTCGTTGTGGTGGTGTAAACGCTGCGCCTTGTCATGACTTAAAATCTGCATCAAAACATGCATGGTCTAATAACGCATCGTAGACAGATGGAGTCAGTCGCATTGTTTAGCCCGTGTATGTGGCCACGATTCAGCATGTAAACCCGAGAAATCGTCTTGAATGCATGCGCACAGCGCGGCGGACGTAACTTGATTCCATACATGCTATCTATCACATGGGCGGCTTCATCGTCTCCAGGCGATAGCCCCACGAAGGAGTAGGTTTGTCTAGTTACCAGTCGCCGTCCACCAAATGGGAAGCTGATCCGCAGGTCAGATTATTGACTTGGGAGTCATTGAACCTTTCGGTCTGTATGCTAATGTGTACACGTTTCATTTGCTGCACAAACCCTGAAAATGTCCGACACTCCTACCATTTGGTACGCATCTGCGCCATTCCCCAATTATACCAGTTTCCACGCATTTGGAAACTGAATCGCCTGTCGCTTAAAATACAAAGAAATACACAACATACGCGGCATATGTATCCGACAGTCGTATACGCAGCAACATTCTCTGACCGATTTATGGATGCGACGCCCTCTGTCGCGACCAACAATTGTCGCGCTGCTTTACACCTTTCGACTATAGGTTATGCGGCAGTTGAAATAGCCACACATTCACCAGTGAGGAGAATTCAGGGCTGGCTGAATCTGGAACCGTACATGCTGCAGTCATCGAAAGAGTGTACCATTATATATATCAATGCAAGCCATGCCCAAGTTAATGATCTTGGTAACGATTCCGCGCGATCAATCAAACAGTTCGATGGACACGCGATTCCGAACGCGACAGATGGTATTGATACGTGTGTTAGGAAGGTACAGATGTGAAAGACACAGAGAGGTCAGCATCACGCGACAACTGGTATATTCGGTCTCCGGGTCGAACAGTGTGCATTGTGGCTGACTGCGACCATCAGCGGTGGCTGGGACATCACAGGCAGTATGACTTACCTTCACCGCCCACGGCGTGTATTGGATACAGCCCGACCACCAACACGAGCGTCAGGTTGAGACGGCTCTTGGGAGCTGCTAGGCAGGCGACTGCCGCCCGCGTCTGCCATACCGCCTTGCTGCAAGTCCTCCAGAACCTGTGTGTATTCGGCCAGGTTAGCGCCTAGCCAAGCGTGCTCCTGCGTCAATGTTTCCATTGATGTAGCGACTGTCGCCTGCCTCTGCTCAAGTGTCTTGATGAAGCTGGCTACCACACGTACAGCAGCAGTGTTATCGTCGACAGCTCCGTAGACAAGGCTTGTCGATGAGGCGTCCAGCCTGCCAGAAGCGGCTTCAACATCCTTGATGTTGAGGTTCTCGAAGTCGGACAGCTGTTTATCCGTTACGCGGCGAACGGATCCCGTCGCGCCGACACCAGACAATGCAGCTGACTGCCCAGCTGATGAGACTGTTAACGCAGACGTGAAAGGTAGAGGAGTCCTGCCGTCCCCTGCGCTCGATAATCCCGCTATCTCAGGCTTTGCCCGCTTGCGGCGGGGGGCGTCCTCCGTGGGCTCGGCATGCTCGTCTTTGCTCGCTGTCGCGCCCTCCTTCTCGGGCTTCGACGCGTGTGGCTTTGTCGAAGTAGCGAGATCACGTTCATCTTCCTCAGCTGCCTTCCGTCCCCTTTTTCGAGTCGGCTGTGGGGGAGGCTTGAGCTTTCCAGGCGACGATGCTGAATGACGTGTCTGACGGCCCGTCGCAATGGGCACTTCCACTTCTGTCGACCTCTCGATCCCCTTCGAGTTGGCTGCAAGGTCGTCGTTATCTTGGAGTGTCCCAGTGAGAGCCTCTGCAAGTTGTACTTAGCAATGTTTCACAGAAGAGTTTAGTTTACGTTTGTGGACACTTCACATACTTTTGCTCTGCGTCCCATTAAGGGAGTACCCGTTGAAATAGCATCCCTTGCCAGCGGTCCTGCAGGTCCCGCAGGTGACACCTCCCTTGTCGACAATGCATTCCCTGACGGCCCGTGTCGCAGTCCGACAGTAGTCACACTGTTCAGGACGGATCAGCTGTACATACGTCGCACATATGTGTAGATGCAAGTGTACCTTCTTCAACTCCTTTCGATACTCATCCGCCTTCACCTTTATCGCAGCCTTGGACTCCTCCGCGAGAATGGCGGCTCGCTTTGGTTTACCCGACTGAGAAGGTCGCGGAGGTGAGCCCTCATCCGTATCTTCCTCATCGTCGCCACTGTCTCCATGATCCTCCCGGTCGGCATCATCGCCAGCCATCGGGTCATCAGTTTCAGCGATGTTGTTGCCACCGGGAACGTCGGCAAGCCTGGGCCAACAAGACTCTCTGTCTCCCAGTAACTCAGGCCACTCAGCTTCGAGCCACTTGCGAACATCCCTGTTTGATCCTCTTCCACTAACGAACCCTACGATCTTCTGCAGCTCCACCACAATCCATGTCGGCTCAGGCCTTTTGCCGGAGTAGACTCCGATGTGGAGCCCGAGCTCAACCTAGAACATAGTGTGTATCAATCCGCTTCATCGTTCAGACGCGCATGACGACCTACCAACGCTGCACGTAACTCGCTCAGGATCACCTTGGCAGACTGGAAGGTCGTCATCGTGTCCTTTGTGCACGCATCACACCACTTCTGTATGGTGTCCGAGATTCGATCCCCCTCCTTCTCCGAAGCGCTCTTCGAAAGTTTTGCCATTATTCTGTGCAGGGCCGACTATGTGAGACGGAGAGGCGACGACGGTGAGAGGAGAGCGGTGTAAGTTCCGACTCGTCGCATTCAAGGCCCGCAGTGCCTCATGGCCATCAAACGCGCGTATCGGAACATCAAATTGTGTCACCGTTCCGCCAAAAGTTCACACAGGGAGCAATCGATCCCATTGCTCGATGCTCCAGGCTCCGCGTGTATATATCATCTTCAAACGATACGTCGTGACCCGTCAATGGTCAAGATCAGGATGTCGACCTCACGATCGCTCCCAGACGATATGTTGTTCCCTCGATGGCGGGCGTCTGACGTTTTATCTAGGTGTAATCAGTCCAATGCGGATGCACATCACATTGCGCAACCCTCCAGCCTGTGCTAAGATACAGCCGCAGGGAATTCCGGAGACGCTACCCAGCCCGATCTACCGAAGCCACTCACGAACTGACTGCAGATCCTTGAGTTGAGCTTCCATCCTCTCGATGTCCACCTCCCTCGTCATAATCTCACGCTGTGCAAAATCCCTTGCCTGCTCCTGATAGAATACCTCAGCCCGGACAAGGGCCAGCTCCTTCCTGCGTTCGTCGACGAGGGCCTGAATCTCTTCGACCTTCATAGCTTCCACTGGCATCATGCCACCACCTTGCCTATGATTCGAAGGTGCAGACCCGTTCTCCGAGGCGATTCCTACTGCGGGATCAGTCCCACGTGCGTAAGAAAGCATCAGCTCTTCCATTGGCCGATAGAGGTCGAGCGCGATGTCGGTAGCGGGAACGCAGACTTCTGCACGGTGTACCGGCGAGTAGCGGTCTTCGTCAGTGTGCATCGTCAAACGCTGCTCCGGCCCCTCGTCGCCAAAATGGGCGTGACGCTTCCCATTCCGTTTGGCTTCCCGCTCTGAACGCGTTTTTCCCGTTTGTATTGTCGAAACGTCGCCATCAAGCGATGGGGACTGCATGTCGGCCTGTGCATGAGGCTGTCTGTCGCTAGTAATGTTTCCACTGAGTTGCTCTGTGGAACAAGCACCACAATTTTAAGTGTGAACTGACACCGGTCAAGTGATTCTGTCACTTACTGCTGACATAACCACTGAGGGATCTGTCGTCAAAAAAGCATCCCTTGCGACGTTTTTTGCACTCCTCGCACTTCATGCCCCCCTGCTGCACCACGCAAGGACGACTAACGTGCACTGCGGACCTACAGTAGTCGCACTTTCAAGTGAATGAGAGGTCAGTTCGATCGTGTCAGTAAGAATTTGCTCACCTTTTTTCCTGCACGAAGTATGTTGCGTGCATGCTCCGCATTTTCCTGCTTCTTGTCCAGGCGGTTCTGCTTCCTTGCGCTTACACCGCGAATACTCTCCTTGTGCACGTGAGGATCATCTGCGACGTCGGAAGGATTCACGTCGCTACAGCCAGATTTCACGTGTTCCACAATAAAATCCAATAAGTCTGTGTTCACGCACGCCAAGAAGGTTGACCTACCTGTCAGCCATGCAAGATACGAGTCCATCTGTCTCCTCTGCATGGAATTGCCGTGAGGATTTGACTGTAAGTCTTGTGACATACGCACCTATGTCCTTCACATCGAACTCAAAGCGACGGGGGAAGAGCGGAAATGCATTGGTAGGCGTCCTCAAATTCTTCCAGTTGGCCTCAATCCACTCTGAAATGTCTTCTGGCTGCGTTTCTCTCGCGAGAGAGTATGCGAAATCCTCCACCATATCCTTTACATTCTCCTTGTCGGACCGCGTCCCCCAGAAGTTGTCGGCGGTATATAGACCTTCATGGGCTCCATAGTTGATCTGTAAGTGTGATTACTCGGGCACTAGTAGCATGGCTGATGTCTATGTGACATACCAATGCGTCTCGCAGTAAGCGGAGTCCCTTCACGCGCGCAGCCATGGAGTCTCTGAAGACAGCCAGCTTCAATGCAAGCCACACATTGCGGAGATGGGATACGTGGATCCGTTGAGAGTAGCCATAGTCACTATCTTGAGAATCCTTCCGCTTGCGCGGCATCGCGTGCATAGTACAAGACGGGCGCGAATTGGGCGAGACAATTGCACGCCGTCGGAGAATGTCCAAGGGTGGAACACAATAGACGCTCAGTGACAATATTTAGGCGCCTCAACGCGACACCGGCCGAGGAGGATGATCTCCGCCTGTGTCATGGCTGCATTTTTCCCCGAGCGGCATCGCGCAACATTCTGTTGCGCGCTTCACGTGTAGAGAATTTGAAGCAGCGTTGACCGCGTTAAAACGATCTTTCCATTGGGGCGGAATGAAGAGTTCTGCGCTCTATGGAATCACGCTAGAATTCAAATCCATCCTGAATATAGCATGGGCCGCATCCATATTTCCGAACTGTTCTATTGCTTGTGTTCTGACACTTGCATTTCGAGGAGTCGCGGACTGTTATTAAATCAGACCGTCCTCGCGAGAGGTCGCTGACGATTCCTAGCGGATTGTTTGCTTTCGCTTGAGATCGTCACTGATACAGATGTGTATATTGCCGACATGTTCAGGAGGATCCAGGTGGATTAGAACTTAATGTCGAATGGTATAGAATAATGTAACCCTCCGACGCCCTCCCACACGCTAATAGCCACCGCCTAACCAGAATATGGCTCATTTCGTCCTCTGAAGCATCCTCAACTGAGTCTCCAATTTGAGAAGATCCTCTTCAATTCTACGCTCCTTCTCCTTCGCTGTCGCGAGCGCAATTTCGGCTGCCTGCAGGACCGCGCGAAATGAATTGCAGACGCTCGACTGAATATTGATGTTCCCCATCAGCGCCTGTGCTTCTGCGACATCATGAGCGTTATACTGGTTATCGACAACGCCGGACAGACGCTGCGACGCTGCACCGGGAACCAGGCCGACATTCGACTTGACAACTCCAGGGAATGCAATTGCTTGTGACGGAATGGTGTCCTTCCTGGGCTTCTTGTGTCTCGGCCCAGTCTCCGTAGAGTGCGTGCGAACCCGTTTTACCACTTGCGCCCCCTCCTTTGTGTCTTCCATGTGTACCCTTCGCGTCGGGGGGTTCGCTGTCGAAGAGCTGGAATGGTCCCCGAGGCCTGCGTGAGTGATAGTCAACATTGTTGATCGACGAGAGCTGAATGGCGTACGTTCATCGTGATGTCTCTCCTCGATGTTGATATCCGAGCTTTGCCTGTGCAGAGAAGACCTGTTGAAACCTATTCCTCGACATGAAACACAACGTGCCATCCGAGGATACCTGAAGTCTACGCACTCTGTACATGTGGCGTCAACGATATTCCGCTGAACTTACATTCACAGTTCTCATGAATGCAGTTTCCGCACGCTAGGTCCGACCTTTCAGGGAAACGACATGGCCCTGCCCCAGATCCCAATTTCCTGCATCGGTCGCACTGTAACGTACGGCTATTTAGCGGAGACCGGAATCAATGAGCCACACTTGCAACATACCACCTTCCCGCGGTCTCGCATCGATCGCGCAAGAACTGAAACATCCATGACCATGGGTGACAATGGTACCTCGCGCGCGACATCGTTCCTAGCGCACTCATCATCTGTTGTAGATTGGAGCTGGTCGATATCATCCATGTCATCACCCTCGAACTGAGAATTGCCTTCTTGACTACAATATTCCCCGTCGCTGGCGTCACTTGCATCGATTGAGTTGCTACCACTGAAGCTGTCGTCGTCGACGTCAGCTGATCCCGCGTATGTCTCCCACTTGGTCGACCCTTCAGCCCGCACTTCGAGCGGCCTCGCTTTGTCGTCCTCCTGGTCGCTCGTTGTGATCCGCGCCATCTACAGAGTCGCCATGAGCTTGCGATCAATCCGGTGGCGTTGAAGCATTACCTTACCTTGTACTAGAAGAGTGACTAAGCAGAGAGCCTACCAATATCCGACCGGTTTATCGGAAGGACAATGTGTGTGTGTGTGTCATATTTCCCACGCGTCAGCTAGTTGTTGACGACTTAATGCACTTTTCCGTCCATTAATCACTTAGTGATCGATGACATAATGACACGTCGTGGTATTGTCGCCGGTCTTGTCCGCAAGAAAGTTGAAACAGCGCCATCCTACCTATATGTCACGCCCTCCACATGTGGTACTGTTTGTTTGGATTGCATGGCGTTGTAATATCCATGGTGGTTCGGAATCGAACGTGAGACATACTGGGTATCTTTGCATTGCAGCGCTCCGGCTCAAGAAATATATATTGGGCAGGAGAACCAAGCACGCTGTATGCGTCATAGTATGAACAGTTCACCGATGAAGTATGTATCAAATGAACCCATCGGCCATGCTACGGTGTCGCAGCACCAGATACGAGGGAGCTCTTGTTCCTATGATCCTCAGCTACGATCAAGAGCCCAATACAACTGCGATGAACAGACGTTCAAGTTGTGTAGACGCCTCCTCCGTGCTCGAGCCGAACGTTCAGAATGCCGAGAGCCTCCACAGTCTTGATGCGTTATTTGGCTGGTTTCTGGGGCCCATTCCTACCCTTTAGATTTTCTCGGATAGGCTTGGGGCAATGTGACCGCGGATTGACCTCATCTGAAGGCGATGCACCAACACCTGCTTCTTCCATTACATGCATCAAATACATACAACACGTTATATTGCATAGACTTACCGTCTTGGAAATCATACGCACCTCACCTGGCATGGCCACTTGCTCGTCAATATCATGCGTGAGAACGCTTGTCTCTGCGGGAACGCATGCCAATTGTGGCCCGTACTTACAGCCCGTCTCTGTTGATTCATCCACGGCACACGCGATGATGGAGACACGCTGTCGCTTACACCTGAGGCCTGGTCGAGAGATCGTAGATTATTCAATGACAGGTGACACGTGGAGCGGTCGCCAGGCATTTTCAAACAGTGACGACCATCGAATGGGTGTGTCATATGGAGCGGGAGAGCGTGCGACAGTTGAATTTGCGACATATCCTATGCATAGACTCTCTTGCATATGCATGATCATAGTGCTGTACCTGATTCAGTTCCGGTTGCTGATGACGCGCTCGCAAACTTACAAGAATGCCCTTGCAACCAGAAAATAGTAATACTGACTGGGGATACGTCATGTTACCCTCTATGCACACGATCCACGCGGCGACGTACAGATGTGGTGGGAAGCCCAGTTCACCACCATTCAGTCCATGGATGCTGTATTTGGGACTCGGATGACATCATGATTCCGAAACGACGATTTAGACACAAGAACGTGCATGCGTGGGCGGCGCCTACACTTTGTGATTCTTCCCGACTTGAAACGTCTCTGGAACAGATGTAGTGCCCTCCATCGTCGCACGGAGTGTCGCAAGCGATTTGGCCCGGGACTTCAGTACCCGGATCCGAGCCTTGATGATCCGCAGCTCCTGTGCAGCGGCGTGATGCAGCCGAGAGGCATCGTGAATGTCGAGAGGCGTTGTCGTATTGCAGCGCTGCCCGATCGGCGTTCCGGATATATTGATCTCTTGCTGATATGCCGTCCCTGTTTTGTGAGCTAGTAGTATGACTCTTCGATCGGGGGTTCTAACGCGGTTCGTTTGAAGCCTTGTAGTATGATTCACAAGATCTTGATTCAGACCTAGCCGGGCTCTGTCCAGTGTGGAAGCGGCCCGAACCGAGCCGTCATCCTTGACTGTGTCTGCGGCGTATGTCCGCGCCTGCAGAAGCTGCTTCCCGAATCGGGCCACTGGGAAGTCAACGTTCGTTCGGCCTATAGATTCTGTACACGAAATCGGCCTACTGTCCATGATTTGCGACGTATATACTCACCTCCGTGTCCACCAGAACCCGCCAGCGCCGTCCAATCACAGCGGCGCTGATTGTCGATGCATGGCTGACACGAATGCGCCGATGGCCGAACAGTGCACGGACGGTCTGTCGGCGACGTCGCACAGTTGTCGCACTGCGCCTTAGCTGTGGGTGAATGATTCTCGTCAATATGAATATTCCAGCACTGACCTCCTGTCCCTCCGGGGGTGTATATACTTTTGTATCGACACTTGTATCGAATTCCTTGTCCGTCGCTTTCGTTCTACAAACAATCGACTCCCGTTTTCTTGTCATCGTCTGCCGTGGGCTAGGTAGAACTCCGTATGGAGGACCAATCTTAGCAGGTGTCCCGTCTGGTGCCAGTATCTGTGTTGGTCGCCACGTACGAGCGTCTTGAACGCCCTCGTCACGGCCATGAGATTTCTGTACAAGACGACGAAGCTGAGCGATCGCATCGGTACATCGGAAAGAGATACATACTATCGCACGGGACTTCGACAAAACCCCAAGTACGGTGGCCAACGCAGGGAATGCCCCGCTCACCCATTCCATGTATTGTGGAGACGCCATTTCTTGAACCCTTTCCAACACTTCCGCAATGCTTTTCTCGAACAGCCCGCCGTTCTCTGTGGGTGGCTCGTTTATGTGCATATCGCAGTATTCCTTCTAATCATGCATCTACAACCGCTCTTACATCATCACCTTGTTGAATAGACTTACATATGCCTGGTGGAATGCCGTCGTCCAGCTTTGCAGCGCGTTCTCACCCTCCGGGACCGGATGCTCGCTGAGATATCGAAGGAGTGTTACACTCGCTGGCAACATTCCCTCGGACGACATGTTGAGGGATCGCAGACAAATGGACAGTGAGAGAGGAAGATGACAGCCGCGTCCACAATCGTGGGAGGCAGGGTCCTATGGGTGTAAGCAGGCGCAGATCATCGATTCCTGTTTCAAGGAATGAAATGGGATGCACAGCACTATTCATAGGCGCCCGTTTGTGGCGTCGCGCCATTCCCTATCTCAGTTCCACCGTGTACATTGTCATGACTCGCGGTGAGGTAACAATATGAAGTTTTCACACTCAGTTTTGTTTGTTGAACGTGCTCGCCAAGAATATTCATCTGCTCCCAAATTTGTCCCATACTAAGATACCACGTAGGTAGGTGCGACAAACTCGTAATGTCATTCCCGTCAATATCAGACATCGCGGCTTAGGCAGGTTCAGACGACATCAATGACTTTGCCAACCATCGCTCAACACGAATAACATACGGTATATATTGATCATACAAACGGAGCGGCGACGTCTTGTTCAATAACGTTCCTCACGAGCGATATACTTGGTAGTTTCTTGACACTGGCATGTCGTGCATTGATTACATTTGATCACACCTTTCGCCATATCGCACGTCAGAGGTTCAACAGACAATGTGGCCCACATGTGCAACGTTTAAAGAAGATCGGTACCTGCGAACTCCTTCAACGCTGCAATGAACTCCTCTAGCGACGTTTGCTCTTGGGTCAGCACTGCGATTCGCGCTTCGACACGCCGTAGCTCCTCTCCTGCGGCACGGCGAAGCGCAATGCGCTCTACCGTATTTCTGCACCGTGCTCGTGTGGCTGAATCCTGCTTTCCTTCTACACATTCGGGGCGCAGACTCACTGTCCCATGTTGCTGAGCTTGTTGGTTTCCAATTTAGCCTGACGAAATGTTTGTAGACAAAGCCATGACTTACCTTGACCTTGGGCGATAGGCATCCCAGACCACAAACACGTCCGTCGCCCATCCATGCAGGACTGGCACACCGATGACCATTTCGGTACGCTGCACCGCCAGGTCTTTCCCAGTGCAATGCAACTGTCGCACTGGCGAAGTCAGTCGTTCAGCGATACGGTTAAAATGCTCTCTGAGTCCGCCGTGAAGACATACCTGATTTCCCGCGTCCGAAGCTTCGGTTCCGTCCTTCAAAGGCCCGACCACGAGATTTGTCAGCTTGGCGGATACTCCGTCAGAATCACAAAGCGCTGGGGTAGAGGCTTGTATGTCCTGATTGCGCCCGACTTCAGGTCTGACATTGTTTGGATTGCAGTCAGCCTGCAAGCCGACGCCTTGGAATGCGATGTTAGAGATGCTAAAGAACATATGTCGCCTGGTCCGACTTACTGTCGCGTTCTCTCTGACAAGGAATATTAGCCATACTATGCACGTGGACACGTTCTAACAGCAACCACCTTTTCCCTTCGCTGAAGAAGTGGATCCATTTTCTTGTCTAATTCACGCAAAGTATCTCCGAGTTCCCCTTGCGTCTAGTTTGGTTCCTACGCCGTTCACATCGACCCTCAGCCTGGCTTTGTCGTAGTCTTTAGGCTTTCCACCCCGCGTTAACCTATTGTCATTCTATTATCATGTATCGTGTTGGTGTTCGAAGACTTACGGAGGCTTCTTCCTGTCCAATCGCCCACCAGAGGTCGTTCTTCCCAGTCGACACTGTGTTCTTCTCCAAGCAGCCAAAGTACGTGTCAAGGGTGATTGACAGTCGAGCGATGTTAACTCCCGACAATACGGTAAGGATGAAAGTGGAAGGGAGCGACTCAGTCGACAACATGCAGTGCGACCAGAAATCCACACGCGCACGCCACTTCAGTTTACCGAAGGTACCGTGATCCGTGGGAGTCGATTGATGCCCTGCGCGCTTTGGCTAAATTCTTGGGAAGCTAGCACGTGGCAGGTAGATGGGGAATCAATTAGGTACACCGAACAACGGGATGGATGGAATCAATCAGTCCTGTTCGTGCGCTTTCAACGTCGCTGTCTCTCGCCTGTAACGTGAAAGGCTCCAGATATATGTCGATACTTGGAAGTAAATCGCCTCTCGATCTATACATAGACTGGTTACGTGGCGATCCCATTCCCATCGAGGACGATAATTCCCTGCAAGCATGGACAATCAGATTCACCGAGGTCAGCGTAAGTCGGTTAATTTGCGTACAGAGTGTGTCAAAGACTGAAAGGATGTAGCTCGCGTATCGTGACATGCGCGGAGGAAAGACCCAAGGCGAAGACCGAATCAGACTCAGAGCAGCGGTAAATCACGTATGGGATACGTTGGAACAGAGGGGAACCGAAGGTTATTTCATGTGGATGCTGCAAGCGTATCCATGGATGGCTGAGGAGATCCAGAAGCGGAAGCAAGAGGTGCGTTCCGACGAGATTGATTGACGAAGTGGGCATTCATGTCAAATATTAGAGAGAGGGTGGTGAGGACACTGCACATCGATAATCCAGACTACACATTTGTTTACGAAGGTGTCTCAGCGGACGTAAACCTGGATGATGTCCGACTTCCAGACACCGCAGTTACTCTTGGATCTCCCATCAATACGACAGCCATTGCTCAGTGGCGCAGTAGGGAGATTGCGACATCGACAATCGCGACGTCGACAATCGCGACAACCACAATCGCGCCAACCACAGTCGCGACACCGTTTGACGATACACAGACCAGGGACCAGCCCGACGACACTTTGGTATATCACGCAGCTGGACAGCAGTTGCGCTACATCAAAGCGCGCATCGCAGTGCTAAGCGATCAGCAGAAGTCATTGGAAGAATACATTGAGGCTTTGCAGAGATTCGCAAGAGCCTCTGACCGCGGCAGGTACCCTGGTTGAAAGGAGGGCAGCCATGCGTTGTCCTGGTTGAAGTGCGTTTGGAATCGCCTTCTGAAAGGGGCGCCCTGGGACGGATTTGACAACTACATTCTTCGAATACATGTATCCATGGGTGATCGCTGCTGCGGCAGGAATTGCGATAAAGGATCATAGAATTCATGGATCAGATATTCACAACGACGCATATATGTTGATCCAAGGGATTCTTGGTCATACCCATTGTCGCGACAATTGCTTCGTTAGGACCGGGCACGTGATCTAAAGTAGCATTGTCGCCACGACAAGCGCCTATCGACCGAGCGCCCATCATTGGAAGTCACACGATCAAGATCACACCACGAGATTCTGGGTCGACTTGAGTGATGCGATCTGGAATGGCGGGTGACGCGACGCGAACTGGGCGCTCTTATTTTTTGCCGTCTCTGGCTCATGGCCATGGACCTCCCCAAGTCAGCAGCACCTGCCACAAGGCTTACCGAATTCATATCTCGATTCCCAGCGCCAGAAGATGACACGCAGATGCCGCGGTGGGTAGATAAATTCAACGACGTGCTGGTAAGCAAGTCCAGATCAGATTCACAACTGATATGACACGACCTAAATTACACTGGGTAGATACTCTACAAATCGAGAACAAGGAACGACCCATGGGATGAAGCGACCTGGAACGCTGTGCAGAAAGTGCTCGACAACGTCGCAGACAGAATCGCTGGCGAGCTGCAAACGTGGGTGATGGCGAACTTTCCGGAACTTGCCGCTGCTGTTGAGCGTCGAGAGGAGGAATACGGGCGCACCTTCTCAGCTGTCCACACAGCTCGACCATTAGCAGAGGAAACGGACAGCCCGGTATCGCCGCGGAACGATACGAGCAATGTAAAAGACGGAGATCATACAACTTCGCCATCGAATGTGCCGGACATCAACACCAGTTCTTGGTCACTGGCAGGCGCACGATCGCACATGCATGATCAGACCGTTGACGAGAGACTCGAAAGGCACAGCCGGATTACCAGCGAGGGGAACATCGACGAGATGGTGAGTAGTGCCTACGGTGCGTATGAGCGCAAGAAGAAGGTAAGCATCTTGATGATGCCGTGACGCTCTATGGCTACTGATCACCATGACTCAAGTGTGACCGCTGTCTCCGCAAGTGGGGAATCAAGATTCACTGCCACCTTGAGGAAGGTAGTGTTACGTGCGAGAAATGTCGGTATGACGGGCGAACATGTATGTGGGACGGCTTCTCCCTGTCCGATGAGTACTACAAAGGTGAGACACCCTCTATTCGACCTTCTCAGCCCTGATATATATACGATGACAGGGAAGGCAAGGCCGAAGCTATCCTTCTCCGGCGTCAACGCATTCGCGGAGCACAGACGTTCCGTCGAAATGCAGACCCCATTTACTGCGATGGTGCATGAGCGCGCAGTTGCGCCAACTCCAGCAGAGGTCGTACCGAGCTTGGAAGATCGCAACGAGGAGGGCGATGTTCCTACAGCTACTCTCCCTCATTATGCGCCGCAGTCGGATGGAAGCCCCGACGAGGATGATGACGCTGCTATCCTTCGTAGTGTCACTGAGGAGGAGCTCAGCTCGATTAGGGGAGAAATAGCGACAGAGGAGGAGAAGGCGACAGAAATACGATTCATCATATCGCAGCTGGGCAGGCCTGTCGAAAAATCGTAATGCGAGAGTTGGACATTATGTGATAGTTACTTTGAACATTGTCGATGTTCAATCGCTGGACCAATAAACTAAGCTACCGTAACCGATCTGACAAACTGTGACTTTCACTCAATGGGATGACCTGTAGCCATTCTATCGACACACACGTGCCCAGCGGGCGGTTAAGCCGACCATGTCCACGACGGCGCCTAACAACGCCGCTGTCGCATTGTTGTCCGCAAAAGGAATAGCCGAGCCATGCGAATAGCCGAGCCATGCTCTTATTCCCAAGCTTCAAGTCGCTTGTCACCGTCTCATCTTGCTTACAGCTTCATCTCTGCGAGCGTCAGAATGTCGGGTCCTCGACTGAGTCCGACGGAAACAGTCCTTCGTTTCCTCCGGGAGAATCCTGTGCCAGAGCCTGGGATTCCGCTCGGCCATTGGTCAGCGGCTTACGACGAGGTTCTGGTAAGCTTCTGTTGGTTTCCGATCGCTCGTAGAATGACAATCGTCAATTTCTAGAAGGCCTACTATTCGCACTTCGAGCAGGGAATCCCTGTCGAGCATGAGCCAGTCCTGGAAGAGGCTTGCACGCAGGCGATGATGAAGGTATATGAGCGATCATCCCCTGAATTCCTCGCCTGGTTGAAGAGGTCACACCCATCGCATACGGCGTTAGCAGCAAATGAAGGGTCACAGGGACAAGTGGTATGTGCATCTTATTTGCGCGACTTAGCCCCCACCATGGCATTGAACTATTGAACTTCTTGTGAATCAGACACGAAACGGCTCATCGAGCACCGGGAGCGTAAGAAAACTCGGCTTAGCTACGCCACAACCCATAATGGCACCCAATGGAGCGCCCGCCAAGGTCGGTCCGCCAAAGGGTGCTCGGCGACGCACTGTATCGGCGACTCCAGTCACAGCCGACTCCGTCGTGTCGAGGAAATCATCAAAGCGAAAAGCTTCTGAGCTGGATTACGACATTGTCACAAACGGCGTGATGCGCTTCCGTTATCCAGTATGTACATCCCGTCCCACCCCATTCACATAGTTCTGAACGGTGAGGATGCGACAGTGCGACAATTGCGTTCAATCACCAAAGCAAGCTCCGTGCAGCGCCCATCCTGGAGCTCCCGCGTGTCAACAGTGCGTGGAAAATTACCTGCTATGTGAGTGGACAGGTCTTCTGGTGCCGAGTGTCGATAGGGAACGTGAGTACTTCGGTTCGAGGAATGTCGAATCATACATAAGGCCCATCCACAGCCACAACCGACACACGCATCATGTCGGCGAAGAGGCCGAGAGTAGAGGAGGAGAAGGCACCACTCCCGTCGCTAGAACGGAAAACTCACCTTATGCGTACCCCGCGTGCGGATATAGTCGCTTCCGAGCGCACTCAAGCCTTGGCATACCCAATCACAGCCAAAGCGCAACCGGTAGCTGTGAAGGCAGAGATCCACAGTGGTACCAAGAATGACCTTTCGTCGGCCGAGGACGGCGGCTACAATCCGATTTCTCCCGTCGTACACGAAAACATGCAGGCTCCATCGCACGCCGGCGCGTCCACCACTGCACAACATGCTCCCAACTCGCGTACGCACGGCGTTAACGATGTGGAGAGGGTGTATCACATTGCGGAGGAAGAACTGAAACACGTCAACGCCCGAATCCAGGTACTTCGCTGGCAGGCCCAAGCCCTCGAGACGCATCTGGCCAGGATGGATTGATAGAGATGGAACACAAATGTTTGAAGGGGTCGCACGGCCCCAACCCCCTCACTAAACGAGTGCCATTTCTGTCACGTTGTCTCTTCCATAGCCTGGGTTCCTCAGTGGAGAATACAGCGAAATATGAGTCGCTTTAGGAGGTACAACACCGAAGGAATTTGAATTAAACATTGCTGGACCATCGCAGGGAGCTTCTACCAGTCCCCAGGGGATCTAAAATATTGTTTACACGAGTATGTCGGGATACCCTCAAAGGTTCCATCGTGCTATTCGGGAAATCGTGACTTCCGAGAGTATACGCGGTATGGCTTGAAAAAAAGTCTACTTCATTCGACATGTCAGGTCAGATTACACATGATCTTCTCGGTAGTGGCTGTAGTGTGTCATGCAATTATGGGACACATAAGTGCATGAGGGCTAGGTGCGGATCGGCTGAGCATACTAAATTTCCCGTTGTGAATTCACGGCCACCGCGGAAGTCGGGGGTATACCTCGGATATAACTCCTCTCTTGTCGGTCTCGGACTTGACAAGGTCCTTGTTATGGCTTCCCCACAGATCTGGCGCGCCCTTGACACGAGTTCTCTTGAACAGCTGCTTGGATGTGATTCCGGGACGGCCCGCAGCCTTCGTGCTCACCTCTGTAGTCATACTCGACTCACCGCTGTGGTTTTTGAAGTAACGCCTCACGGCTTGCTCACGCGATTGTCTCAGTGCCACGCTACACCACCCCACGCATTCTTCCTGTCGTGTGTGCAGTGTCGTGTTCGGTCCTAATTTGTCAGCGAGATATTTCTCTTCGCGCATTTAGTCTCCTGCAATTGCGCTACTTCTTCCGTGGCGTCTGTCGGTGGACGTGTTTACGACGGTCTTGCCGCCTAGAAAGCATAGTAGGTAACTAATTTCAGCGTGATCGTGGAGTTCTCTCTGTCAGATACTGAGCTTCTATGTATGTTGGTAGACATCATATATATGACGGCGCTAGGTCACCAAAGAGGCCGGTGAATTGAGTGCCTTCATCGCTGTGGAAACATATGACGACGGTGAGAAGGAGACACCTAGGGCCAATAACGACCATTATGTACAGGGGTGTCCAAAATTTACGTGGAGCTAGAGCTATGTCTGATAATCGTAGCAAACTTGTACTAATGGATTACACTACATTGAGTACCCGGTAGCATTCAAGTTGATCCTCGTGTTGGAACACGACAATCCGTGCGTCACCCTACATCGGCCGGCCGTCTACTATACCCGCATGTACATACTAGCTGCCATTCATATCCGCTAAGTATGCAGTTAGAGCGCATACTGAGGTTATTATTCGTGGCTGTAGTAGCCGGACAACGTGTTCTTTCGCAATGCTGTTACAATCCTTAGTATGCGACGCAACCTTAATTGATGGCGCACATAAAGGCGTGAATTACTAGGGCAATGTAGCGAACGTTGTGTATCAAGGTCAGGAATTTTGGAAAATCGACAGTTGGCTTGTCTGGAGAAATGATCCATGCCCGCATCTTCAAATCACGCAACGACGAATTTCATGTGATACAGTGACAATTCAATGATCATGTGTGATAGTCACGCTCCAGTTCATCTATATACACCACTACTAGTAGTTTGTCAAAATGTCTCGATTCGACATCGTAGAACAACTATGAACATGACTCTAGTCACTGAAATCGTCGGATATATCGCCCATGGCCTGGTCGTCATCTAGTGCATTGGGATGTCCATGTCTGCACACAACGAAGCGACAACACTATTACTGGACATACCACTGTATTCGTCGTCATTTCGTAGCCGGAGAGGTCCATTGACCAAAAGAGTGATGAGACCGACGGGGTCATTGAAGTCTGACGACTGGTTAGCATGACAGCTTGCAGGCGAAATGTAGAGTCGAAGTCAACGTACAGGCAACGCGATTGTTCACTGCAAGGACATCGAGATGTCAGTATGAAAGGGGGCGCAACGCAGAGCATAACATACGCATCCAAAAGATAGCAATCGCGGAACAGGATTCTTCATATTCAACATGTCCAGCACCACTTCTGATGCGGCGTGGCGTGAGTTCTTTGTAGTCGCAAAGGAAATCCTTGAGGGTGTGAATGTCGGGAGGAATAATCGCATCAGCGGTGATCCATTGAAACAGAGCGAGGAGCAGGTGAGGAAACTCCTCTTCCTTTTCCGACCGCCTGAGAGACAGAAGCCACGGAGGCGTCTGGGTGGGTCAGTGAGTGATGCGGTGATAAACTTCGACGTGTACGTCATTACTCACAAGGATGTGGCATCGTACAAATTGCTCGTAGCTCCTCCATTTGAGCGGGCTGTTGTATGAGGACCAAAGCAGGCGGTCAATGCATAGTAGAGCCTCATCATCCCAAGCATATGGAGCAGGAGGACAATCACTGAAGAACTTTGCATTGTTCAGGATCTCGTTGCGTGGGCGGATAGCGTCACGACCAATGGGCGATAAATTGAATACATGGAGACGAAGGTCGCGAATGGAGGATTGGCCCACCATTGAAGGGGTTCGTCGGAGGGTGATGGAAGCAAAAGATGAAGGGAGGTAGGCCGTGCGCAGGTGTCGTAGTCCAGGGATAAAACGGAGAACGATGTCGGAAGTTATACTATTAGTAGACTTAGCAGCTGGCGCAGAGAGCGACAGATCTTCCATCGCATGCCTGCGCCCCAATTGGCGTATCTCTCATACTCATCGGCGATCAAGCCATCCCGGGCCGAACGCGTCGTCCATCAGAACGTGGAACTTTGGAAGGCTCAGTTGCACATCGCAACGTTCCGTGGACCCAAGCGCTGGAGCCGATATTTGCCCGATCATTGCATGAATACATTGTGCACACCTACTGGATAAGCGGCGTTGACAGATAATTGAATGCACTCATCATCAAGCCTAAGGTTCACATGATACTGGCTCCACGTCGATAACTGTCGAGTTCTGCGACATTGCAAGCCAACGTCGATAACAGCTCGCGACAGAGGGAATATTGGCCTCCTGACGCATCGTCTGCGATCGATGTATCCAAATAACACTGGTGCAACTGTGTATGCCAGCCCCTCACCAGCGTGAACATGATTCTTCATAGTGTTTTCTCAAGGCATTATGCTGTACCTAGCGTGATATTGACGACCTAAATCGTAGCCACCGCATCAGCGAGCGAGCCATACACAAGCAATAGACACCCCCTTTGTATTCGCCATATGTTGCTCCACATCTACCCGTGCTTGACAACCCTGTGGCACAACTGCATTATCGAAGGAATGTTTCATGCGGCATGCTCCATTACTCCCACCTTCGACTGCACACGGTAGGGCCTAAGTACCATGTCTGTATGTATATATTGATGCGACGTTATCTACGGCGCACCCTTCCCTGGGTTCAGTTAGATTAGCCGTCGCGTTATGTCGTAGATACGTACCTAATACTCGCAACTGCGTGCGAACCGCGGCGAATTGAGTGGAGGATACGGCGACGTCGGAATCGAGTATTCTCGCCTGCCCCCCGGTAACAGCCTGCTTCCACTGCGCGACGGTAAAGAATTGGCCAAGATCGGAAACCCAGACATGACTTGCGACGGCTCCGAACGAGTCGTTCTGTCGCAGAGGGAGTCGGAAGGGAATGGTGTAACTGTGGCCGGGAACCGCAATGTCGGGGCGGCCCCAATCAACTGCGCGCCAGGCGGTTGCGTCGCACTACCTAAAATCTTGTATGACGTGGAGATGTAATTAGAAAGACAACGCACAAGTTTCAGATTGAGACTGCTTGTGAGAGGAGCGACCCAAAAACCTGCAATATGTCCCGACTTTAACACGTCGATTTTGCTGACCACTGCAGGTCGCCATTTGCGTGTATTTGCTCCGTGGTAGGCCGCCGAGAACTTGTTGTCGGTAGGCCGAATCCAGACAAGGCAGCGCGGTATGCGGGGCGACATGAGGGTGGATGAGGTACGATGAGACGTGGTCGTCCGACAGTCGGAGACGGTCGACAAACCGTGACCTACTGATTGTATCAAAAGGTCCAGGTAAGAGGGAATTTCAGGCAGCGTAAAAGCGAAGGTTATGTTACCTGAGAGTGTTTGAAGACCCGTTGGCAGATTTGAGTGGTATGCGACACTGTATGACTGTCGCAGGAATAGCGCGACAACACACATTTGTCGTGGTTTGCTCCCGACGTTTGCGCTGTTTCAATGCTATATGAGGATTGTTGGTATTCTCTTTGAGAATGTGAATCAATAGTCATTTATCTCAACTGCGACAACAAACTGGTCCGTGTCGGTTGGTGTCGCTGTAATGTACGCACACGAATGTCGTAGGCCACTCCCGACAGGCACAGTGTCTCCAGCTGGCTATGCTCCATAAATTGCCAAGGGGTGACAAACACCTCTTAGCAAACAGCGCACCTGCTTCTGTGTGTCCGCTCGAACACTCTGACGTCCGACCCTAACCTCAGCTTCGGGTCTCTATGTGGATTCGACATCACGTCGCGCCAAGTGGAGACGTATCGGGCTGTGTAGGAACGGGTGCATTAAAAATTAATCCTTTACTCCACCAGATATCCTCATACCTACTTTGACTGGTTACAGGGCCATCGCGAAGTGGAATCCACCCGACATGGGCAGTGTTACATGTCGCCGGCTGCGTTACGTACTGTCGCAGCCCAATTCACGCGACAATTAGTCGCCGACCATCCATGCATGAAGCCCTTTCCGTAAAATGGTGCTACCACTGGTATTTATATGAGATCATTGTCGATAATCTATTCAGAATACTGCGAGATGTCGACCGGTATGATTAATGACTACAGTGTCTCCAGAATGGACTGCACGCCTGACATGCGGTTAATCGCAACCGGCTTGTCTTCTGCGACTGCGAGACCTGTGTTTTGTTTGGATAGTACATCAATCTCTACACTTGACGCAATTGGCCAAAGACCTTCTGTCTATGCACGAATGACGTAACCGTGTGCTTGACACGTCATCTAATACCTCTGCTCGCTCATCTCCGACCTCGGTTCCTGCACCACCAGACGGTACTATAACGAAACATTTGTGGTCTCACCTTATTCGGAGTAAGTAGGAGACATGCAGCATGTACGGCGTGCAGAATAGTACCACCTGCGCAGCTCATTCCTTGGGGGAGAAGAGAACCGCACAGATAGAATTCTGAACTTGACGCTGGCACGCACTGCCAATGAGCTTCATAGTCATGGGACGGAGAAACGATGATATCACTTGTCGCTGTTGGTCTATAGCTTGCTCTGAATAGGCATGGCATTGTGCTGCTCATACCTGGTCATAAAATGTGGATGGTGCGTTTGGGAAACACCAGTACATTCCTTGTATTCAGTTGCGCCCTGAGCACTTGGCGTGCAGAACAGCGGTTAGTTCGAGCTACGCATCGTTGACACGACACGACTTGCGTCACGTTAGAATACAAGAATAGGGAAAGGTGCGGTAAAGGGAACATCATCGTAATGCAATGATTGTACTTCATAGCATCACCGTCACCCCCAATTTCTTGCTCCTCAGCCTAAGCTCTCACCTTGAGCTCTTCGCTCGTCGTAAATACTTCGCGCATTATGAGTGTAAGATATTCCCTGATTGTTTCCCGAGTATGCTGAGCCCTTCAATTCAAAGTTGATGGCGAGACTACCGTCTGCAACACCGCTTGTCGTCTAAGGTCCGATACTGGAACCACAGTAACTCAAACGACGACTGCAATGGACGCCGGAAGAAGTACATCGCACACTGCGCCGATGTCTACCTATCCGCACTGCCCGAGACGCAAACACAAATATGGAGGCATGAAGCGTAGTCCGCCCGTATTGCAGGACGTACTGTCTTCATCACGCTCAGCGCTTCCATCTGCAAGCCCTGCCGTGATGTGCGTACCGAGTTGTTCATACATCAAGCGCAAGCCCATTTTTCGCGTGACAGTGATTAATCCTGCCTTTTCGGAACGCACAGACAGTCTACATTGCGCACGCGAACGCTCAAATGGTCAGCTGGCAGGACAAAAATAGCCTGACATACGTCGTTGATTTTGGCGTTGTTTAATATTGACGTTGCATCTCACTTGCCCGTACGTACGTCGATGCTGCTGTTGTTGAGATGTTTGCCAGGTCGTCCGACAGGCTATCTGGCAGAGCACCTGAGGGGCCCGTGCACCGTCTGGACCACGTCGTCCGTCGCATGCGCAGACGCGCTTGACGAGCCCGACAATCCAAGACCGCTCGTGAAAGAAAACCGAGCTACTTCGCTCATCATTCTCACGACTAGCACCGGTCGCCACGACTGCCGTCTCTGAACTGGCTCCCGGAAAGGTCTTTCCACGGAGGCCTTGTCCACCACTCTGCATGCTCGGGCTTCGCTGTCTCCGACTACCAATGCGCGACAATTTCTGAACGCGACTATCTTGTGACGTCTGACGGTGAGGCCTGGCGTGTCAAGCATGTCGCAGCCATGTGAGTCGTCTGCTCGAAGATGTCGCGACGCCGGGTCGTAATAGGCAGGACGCTGAATGAGATTGGGCTCATTTCATCTTGCAGCACGTCCTTGACATCCTCGAAGAACCAGTTCGTGCATTCTGCGCTCCAGCGTACGCTCTCTCTAGCAATCAAGGCTCGTGGCCCCGCTTCCCTGCAGAGCGGCTTATCATAAGGCCTCGACACCACCATAGCTGGCTACAACCACGTTTACTCGCAGGCGACACGGGTGAGCGCTCCGCACGCTGCTCAGTGTGCGCTTAGGTTAGTTAGGTGATCAGCGATTGAAGTTATAGACAGGGATTTCCATTTGTTCTCGTTGTATTATTGCTCCCTCAATGCGTATCATTTTGCAGTCCTCTGGAGTGTGCATTCCTCCCTTAATATACGACAGAGTACATAGTCTGCGCGCGACATATACATGTAAACAGCGCGGGGTCCGGTTGGGCATCATGCCTCCAAGCGTGTTCGGCGTCCGACATCCCTCCGCGGCTTCTGTCGTGCATCCAAGACAGCTTCTACGACCATGCTCGGCTTCCTAGCTTGCGCCGTCTTGCTCGGAAGATTCCGTATAGGTTTCGTTTCCCCCAAGTCGAAGTTGTCGAGAGCGTCTCGACGACTGGGATTGGTCGTATTATTGCCGAAGGCCATGCCTCTGTCTTCGTAGGTAGCAGGATCTGCGCATGCATCCCTCTTCTTTGATGGACTGCAATTCTCATTGTAATGAGAATCGGTCTTACGTCGCTTGCTGGGGGAGAGCGGTGGTGGCGGAGGCAAAGGAGGGAGCCAAGAGAGATCGTCCACTGGCGGCACGTTTTGCTTCCCTGCTACTTTCTTCTTGTCGCCAGCTAGCGTGGAGATTGACCGTGAGTCTTCTCCATCAATGCGGCCGCCAATGACATACCTTTTGACTTCATGCCGTCGAAAGTGTTCGTGATCTCCTTCGTAACCTTGAACATCCCTGCAGTCTCCACATCGCCCGCTGTAGTGAGCTTCTTCTGCACCTCCCAGTCGGAGGGCCACATCCTCTTCCACTCCTCTACGACCGTTTCTGCCCACTTATCTGTCTCACCCACAATGTGGTAGTCGATGATGCCATCCCACTCGCTGCTCGGAGCTGTCTTGTTCACGAAGATGACCTTTCCGGCGAAGGCTTTGGTGTTCTTCTGCGATGACGTGGAAGCTACGGCGGGAGATGGCGCGGACTCGTGTACGATTTTTGCGAAGTCTCGAACGAGTTTCTTGAAGCCGTGCACCTTGAGCGAGGTGCCCATGATGATCAGCATGTCGGGCTTCCGCGTCATATCCGCGGATTGCATGCTGGCGATGTCGTCTCCGAGAGGGTGGGGTTCGTTGTAAAGAACGATAGCTGGTCGTAGGGTGCCAACTTTGAGGGGACGGGCTGAGCGCGCGACGCGATCTATCGCTGTTTATCTACGTGAGTCTATGAGAGCCACACAACGGAATACTTAACTCACAGCGTGTGACACACTCGGGGCAATCAGGTGCCGCACCAGTGTCAAATGTATTCATATATTCCAGATTGCACGGGAAGTCCGCACTGCAGAATGTACAGCGGACGCGATGGATATCGCCATGTAGTTGGACGTTGCGCACATCCCGAACTTTGATCTTCGTCTTTCCCTTGCCATCGTTCTTCACGTGGTTGCTCGAGCTGCCAAGAAGGCCAGCCTTCTCCTCGAGCGCGTCAATGTTCTGCGTATATGAGCGCAGCAGTTTGCGTTTGGTATCGAGGGTCTTGAGGAATCGGTGCGTAGGTGACGGGGACGCGTTGTTGATGGATCGTTTGAGTTGCGAGATGAAGGTATAGAAGACGGACGTTGAGATTGGGTCGCGGAAGAGCGACGCGTCGAAGAGGTCGCGACCCTTCAAAACGATGCCAGGATATTGTTGTTTGACAAGTGCATATAGTCCGTCGGACGACCGGAAGTCCTGTACGTACGCGCTTGGAGTCAACGTACATGAAGAGAATACGTTAGATAACGCGTACCGGAATACCGCATGAGCATGAAATCCCGGCGCCGGTCACAACCAGGATCTTCTTGCATTTCGCGACTGAGAGTGAGAGGTTGGAGAGGGAGCGCCGCATAGAGACGTCGGACGAGCATTCATCGAGGTCGAGTGTAATAGGCATCACTGAAGATGTACCTCCGCGGTAGCACTTGGTTGGAGGGAGGAGGGAGGAGGGACGCGGTAGGATGCGGTCATTGAAGCGCTGTGGCAGCCGTAGCTAAGCGAAGCGATGTCGATCTTGCTCAACGCGTCGAGATCGCCAAGCGTCTCAAAGGGGTGCGGTGAACGGTTACGACGGACTCTCCGCTTTACCTCTGGAGTAGCAAGCGTTACGGACGAGAAGAGAAGGAGCTGGAGGACATGGCAAGTAGGGCTGCCAGACAAGGTAAGCTACCCCGTCTTACCAGTGCACCCACTGTCTGCCAAATATACCCCCCAAACCGCCATCCTTCCCCTCTCTTAGCATCTCCCTCGGTACGGGAGGACTTTGCAGACCGACGACGTATGCTGAAGCTGCCACGTCATATCGTTCTTAGCCCTGGAGTCGCTGCCAAAAGAGGCCCATGGCCTGGTGCCCCGTCTTCCTCGCGCTGGGCTCTGGAAATTCCTCCAACATGCCGCACCAGGAATTCCCGAGGAACGCGACAACATGGACAGCCGTAACAAGGTCACCGCGTACAAGCGGGTTGTACAGGGGCTCCAGCTCGAGCCAGCCGCTGAGGAGCTAGCCGGGAGCCCACCCCCTCTGGCGAGCTTGAGCACACTGGTATGATTCCTGTAAGCAAGAGTCCACTGGGGACGACCCAGAAGAGCGCGATGTAGGTGACTTCGAGAGAGCGCGGCTCGCATGCGCCTGTTGACGACCAGAAGCACATAGCGGCCCCGGTGAACAACAAGCCACCGAACGCGACTCGGGTGAAAATGAGCGCGACCTCCAACATGGCTGTCTCAACATAAGGCTCAGTGCACCTACGACAAGACCACGACGCCGATGAACGCGATGGAGACGAGCGCGACCGGGACGAACACGTCGAGGTCGCGCATGGCCAGCACAAGTGCAGCAAGAAGGAGCTCGCCGACCACATGCCAGACTTGGGCAACGCTGCAGAATGCACCAACGACCAGCAAGAGCCCGGGAAGCAAGATTCCGCCGGGGAGGTACCAGGAAATGAGGAGCTTGTTGAAAACAAGTCCAGGATGCACGAGCTCACACAGGACGTCCAGTTCAGCAAGACTTCGACGAAGCAGGAGCCCGCCAGGCATCAGCCTGCCAAACGCAAGGACGACGAGGACGACCCCGCCGAGCAAGGGCCCATCGAGGACGACCCTTGTGAGTAAACGCGAACATTAATCTAGTATAGATAGGCAGCCGCGGGTCAGCAGGATCAAACCAAACGTCACCGAGTGCAGAATAATTTTGACGCGGCCAATTAGGATGACAGCAACGTAGCGCGAACCAGGGCGTCCAGGACGAGGTTGTGAGCATGTACAGAGCACGAATGACTTAGACAAGCACCAACACCCTGACTACGAGCAGGCGTATAACGAGAAAGCATCGAATTACGTTGACCAGTGTACAATGAGATACGATCGTATACTGATGTGTAACAGCATAATAATCTGAATCAGTCAGTACTTTCGACACGCGTCGCGCGCCATGTCGCGCCTCACTGCCGCCCAAGTCATCGCCCTCCGGAAAGAAGTCTCGAAATCGACTTTAACCCGATAGTCTCACCGTCGCTCAGCAGCGATAAAGATTGACTACGAGATGATCCTTGGGAAAATAGATACCGAGCAACGTCCAAGCGCGCGACACAGAAGCGATGGCACCAGTATCATGCCTTTTGGGACGATGAATTCGAGGCTGGCCATTCGAACGTCGGACGCCCTCCGCTAGTGTGTAGCCAATCTCGCTAAGAAAAGCATTCCTGCTGTAATCACCTGGTCCACGTTGAATGACAACCGTGAATGACCCCTCTCCGTCATCGCCTGTGCTGTATTGTTTGCGATTGATGTAGTGATACCATCTCACCCCAATAACCGTTGTATCGGTGAGTGTACTAGCAATGGTTTCTATGCATTTGTACATTGTTTATGGATATGACACGCATATCCCTCCAACAGAGATGCAATTACCCTTTGATGTTTGCCGCTTCCGACTGAGCGTTAGTGTACGCTGATGGGGTGACCCCTTGTCAGGCAGCGTCGAACACATGTTTATACGTGAGAAATGTGCAAGACCAGCCCGTAATGCGCATGTATGCTGCAGGAATGAAGCAATACAAACGTGCGACAGACATAAAGGCGATATAGCATGGGCGAGGCGACACGATACGATCAACGTGGCACAACAACCGACAAATCAATTGCCTATAGGAGGGTACCACAGTTAGTCAACAATTTCATCACGATAAATCTCATCGAGGGAATGCTTACGTTTATAACCGCCACAACATTCGTTATATGCGCTCCGCCCTCAAGGCGCACGACGAAGCCCCGACGAGCCCCGAGACGAGAGGATGCGACTCGGGCCCGCTTGACGCTCTAGACGACTCTGTCGGGGTGCGGCTTCGCCGCGCCGTTCACGCGCGCGAGCCGCCGTCATCTTCTTGATCCGATCCCTGTTTGCGGCTATGTCCTCGCGATAAAAGGACGTCACTCCATTGATCTTGGCTATCTCCTCAGCGACTTTGGCCTGCTGCTCTTCGCCGAGCGACCGCTGTTTCTCGCGCAATATGAGGATCTTCTCGTTGGCCTCCATCCACATTTCCTGATAGAGTCGGATCAGTTTCTTCACGACGTCGACATCGCCGTGGTCGCGTTTCATTCCATTCCCCGACTTCAGCTTGTCCTTTCCACCCAGATCCGTACGCCTTCCATCCACATCACCTCCACATCGCACCTCACCATCCCCCTTATTGCTAACCTTCCCATTGCTGCCCATCCCGTTGTCACCAACCGACCCGGTCGTAGCCAACACCCACGAGCGCGATCCGGGCCAGCGACTTTTGCCGTTTTCGAGGAGCTCAGGCCAATTGACCTCGACCCAGCTTCGCGCGTCGTCGCTGCACAACTCACTCATCACCAGTTCCGACAACTGGTTGAGTCGGCGAGTGATCCAATTCGCCTCGACAATACATCCGAGTGCGATTCCGTGATGGGTCCCATACCCGTTCTGTCCACATAAAGTAAGGCCATCAATTATGTTAAGTAGCGCCTCACGTACCAGCAGTCCCCGCAGCGATTCAACGATGTTCACGTCGATTTTCAGATTCCTGCGCTCCTGAGTTTCTGCCAAGCGAAAGTAGCACTCGATCATCGCGATCATCGAGTCGTCAGACGACTGTTTGCCTGTAGCTGGCGCCATTGAAATCGGGAGGGCGTGGCGAATAAAAGCAAGAGTTGAGTCGTATCGGTAGAAGGTGAGAGGATGGAAGGTCCACGTATGCGCCTTGTACATTCTCGCGTAGTGTGTGTCTCGTGACAATCGTATCAATCACGCGTATCGCTTCTGGCAGCATGAGGATTGATATAGTTATGGCGGCGTTCCGATGCATCCCACCGGCTCAGGCATTGTCAAGTAAAAACCGTGTTCTGAGTCCCGTATCGCTCACAACAACTAATGATACATTTATGGGTCGAAATCCCGTCCACTGTTATGAGACATCGCTGCAAAAAAGATGTGTTTAATATTTGCTGCTTTTGATACGAGTTTGCTGGACGAACGTGTGAGCACGCCCATTATTTGTGTGGGTCTTCCGACACCGCTCGGAACCACGACGAATACAAAGACCTCGTCCAACCGAAGCCTACCTTCCGACTCTTGTTTTACCCATCCTACCCTTTCTTGAACAGGTTAATTGTACTGGAGAGATGCACCCCCAGACTTATTGGCGCGTGCGACACCAGAACGCCTCAGCTAGAATGCGCTTGCCGACGATCAAGATCAAGATGAGGCCGGTCTCTCAACTCTGCATCGGAGGCGTGCCCGACAAAGACAAGAACGTACTGCAGGGTGTGTCGGAGACATTATTTCTTCACATAGCCGCTTTCATACATAACGTAGCTTGACACTATGCAATTTGACCAACGACGCTCCCGACAAGAAAGCGACGAAACTGGCAATGACTTTACCGACAAGTCGGAGGCTGGGCCTTCGCATCACAACCGGAGGCGTCGCCAATATCTAGCGAAGTTCTAACCGTCCATGCTGTATACCCCCGCTTGGATATGCTCGAGCATAGAACACATTCCTGTTATACTTGTTCTATATATGCATTTCACACCCACTCGCCGACTTCGCTCATTCCCCATTGTTTGAGATCAGTGTAGCGAGGCGGTCGTTTCTTACTGTCATACAATATTACTACATCCTCTATTACATTCCACGACGTCGAAGCCGAACCCCAGACGGGGTAGAGAAAATGCGACGCCAGACCATAATACACACATTCATAACACTGTCGACCGACCTATCATAAGACTGGGACACAGTACGATCAGCTATCAATGAGAATATGAATTCCAGGGTAACTCACATACTTCCTCCGAGCGCGTGCCTTGGTTGATGGAGGATAATAACACCGATGAATATCACGGCGAGGAGCCCTGCTGGTGACTAGGCCCGGCCTCGGCCATTTGTGCCTGCTGCAGCTCTCGCAAACGTGTCTTGTTTGCCTTTAGCTGGGCATCTAACCAGATACGGTGCTTCTGCAACTTCTCCATCTTCTTTGCGACCTTCGCCCTCTCCGCTTCACAGAGCTTGATTACCTTCCCAATGAATATAATCGGATGGTCACCGGCGGCCTCGCCTGCGCTATCCGACGCATCATCGAGTTCCCCCCGCCGTTCGTTTCCGCCATCGATGTTGACATTGTGAATACTCGCCGCGTCTGAGGGTCTCTGCGAGGGTTCACGTTGGATGTGGCCATCGGATACGGGATTCGACGGCCTAGAAGCCCTTCGGTCGGCGTTGGTAGCGGGAGCGGCAGCCGTCGCGCGCGTAGGCCTCTTCTGTGTAGCGTTGGAGGGCTTCTCGACGTCGTATCTTCCCCGCTTTCGAGGAGGCGCCTCCTCAGGGGTCTCCGAACGCTCATCCATCAGTCTCCCATTCTTCGCCCCCCTGGTCTTGGTCGCTGTGTCCAGAGCGGTTTCGCTCAATTTCGCGGCCGACGGTTGTCGCAGTGCACGGGATCGAGTTTCGCGCTGAACCAGTGTTGTTTCCTCAACAACGGAAGCCGTGGTTTTGGCAGGACGTTCTTGCTCCAGCACTTGGGTGACACTCGCTGCTTTCCTTTTGCCCTTCTTAACGGTCGAAGAGGCATCGTCATCGGGCGTCACGAGCGTCGCTGCGTCTGTGAACAGAACATTCTCAGTTGACTGCTTGGGCTGTCGATCACCGTGATCCACACTTACTCTTGTTCTGTGTCCCATTAAGCGAGTAGCCCTGGAAGTAGCATCCCTTGCCGGCTTTTCTGCACGTCCCGCATGTCCCGCTATCTTGGTCTACCACGCACTCCCGCACTGCCCTTGTTGCAGACCTACAGTAGTCGCACTGCAAATTGCATTGGCACAGTCAGTGAAAAGTGATTTTCTAGACGTATTCGCAGCAATACCTTCTTGAGCCGCTTCCTACATTCCTCCGCCTTGGCTCTCACCACATCCTTTGCCGATTCCACCACGCGATTCTCCAGCGTATCCGTTTCCTAAGCGAGCGACTCGTCAGCATCCATCTCATAGTCATCGACGGCACCTACGTCTTCGTCGCCTGCCTTCTGACCTCCTTCGTCATTGTCCCCACGGCCACTCAATGGTTCCTCCGCGTCTTGAAGGTTTTTTCCGCGACTCTCGAGGCCCCTTCCTGGCCAGTGACTCTGGCCCGCTATCAGAAGCTCCGGCCACTCGGCTTTTACCCAATATCGTGCGACCTTGTTAAAGGTCCTGTTCTTCACGCGGCCCGCGAGCTTGCTCAACTCAACCGTGATCCATGTCGGCTCCGCCCGTTTTCTAGAGTATACCCCATACTCAATGCCGTATGTGCGCTGTCAAGGCATAAGAATACAGTCAACCACTCGAATGTCGCGACATACCAACCACCGACGCGTCTGTTCAACAAGCGTCTTCGCATTATCAAATATCTTCAGGTCGGCCTCACTTCCACGCTCAAACCACCATTCCAAGGCACCCACTGTACCGGCATCCGACGGAGGACTCCCAATGATTGACGGTTTCGACATTCGATCGACAGATACGCGACAATGTAAGGTTAGGTTAGGGAGACGGGAGATAGCAGTGAAGCCACAACGCTCAAGGTAACACGTGCTTGTTATACTTGCACGCAATCTCACCGATCAGTGGCCCAATCAAGAATCGTGAGACATTTACAAGCCACACTCTGATCTCCAGTTTCGACCTTCACAGAGATCGACCGAAAGCTGTCGTATCACTTGCAAAGGATGCAGGGCGTCGTTCTGTATCGCACTGTGTAATAACAACAATTATAGCGACCCTAGTCGACCTCAGCCCAATTGGCGCTTGCGAACGACCACGTAATTGAACTCGTCCGGTACAGTACAATATACTGTATAGGTCCAATCACGGTATCCATTTACGACCGGGTTGTTCATAAACAAACTGCGACACATCGCCGGTCTGTGATTACGATGGTAGCACATTTCAGCGTATAGGTTATCGCTGCAACTAGCACAAGTTACGAACCATGTCACCGTGTCGTTCGGATGTTGACGAGCGTACCGTCGATCCATTTGCTGAAATTATCTGCCAATATATCAACGTGAGATGGCGCTCGAGAGCAGACAAACGACCAAAGACACGCGTAAGGCCACTTCCATTTGCCTTCAACTCGAAACACCCACGCAAGACGGGAATCGACGCCACGACAGGGATACTCACCGACCTCGTTTCATCACTGACGCCTACCCTTCAGCAGAGACGAACAGTCAGCTACCACTTTCGCAATGATATGTCTTCATTGTCTCACCTTTATCGTCGACGGCTTTTGCGCGATCCGCCCTGCCCGCGAGCCGCCCGACGAGAACTTGATGCCACTCGCGACGCGGGGGGGGCGCCTCGGTCCAGGCTCAGCCTCCAGGGGACTTGGTCCAGGTTCAGGCCTGCCATCTTGGCGCAACTCTTGCTGCCGTAACTTGTTAACGGCTAGCTGGTGCGAGAGCCAGTCGTGCTGCTTCTGTAGCTGGTCCATCTCTCCTGTGAGCTGGGACTGCTTCGTTTCGAGCAATCCGATGAACTTCTTCACGCGCTCGACCTGATCACCGCGTGTCATCCCAGTCGTTGCGTGTGACTTGGTGACGTCAAAATGGCCGTCAGGAAAAGTGTTGTCTTCGAAGGTAACGTTACCGAGCACGAACAACTCGGTGTGTGTTGCCGATGACACTCGATGCATCTCCTCACCATATCCAGGGTCGGAAACAATCGCAGAGGCTGACGCCATCGAGCGAACCGACCTACGACCGTCACCGACAACGCTCCGGGCGACCTCTGCCTTGGCTTGCTTCCTACGAGGGGCATCATCCTTTGAGCCCGTGATTTCATGCTTAGAGGGTTCAATCTTCGCGGGCCCCGTCGGGTCAATCTTGGTCGGAGTCGTCTCACCGTCATCGACGCTGTTCGCGCTAGCTACTCCGCTGGAACGCGTCGCTCTCGGAATTTGCCTGGGTTTTGTGTGCGTAGAGGAAGTGCGCGGCTCAGATCTGTCACCACGGCCATCCCGCTCCACGAGCGCAGCGTCACGCATTCCCGTACTTTTGGACGGAATCGCTAGGTTAAGCGCGCATAGTCAGCTCGCAGCGTCGTTGCTAGTGATACGGTACGATGCTTACCCTTGCTCTGGGTACCGTTCAGGGAATACCCGTTGAAGTAGCAGCCATTCCCCGTGTTCCTGCATATGCTGCAAGTTAAGTTCCCCTTTTTGATGGTGCACTTCCTGACAGCCCGCGTTGCCGCGCGGCAGCGGTCGCACTGTACAGCATAGTTTGACTGTCAATGAATAAAATCGTGCAGCAGTTGCACAAATACCTTCATGAAAATCTTGCGGTAACGCTCGGCATCCCTTCTGATGTCCTCCTTTGCTGACCGCGCACGCATTGCGGGCCGTTTGGTTGAGCGCGACTGCGACGCTGGGAGAGCCGACTCATGGCCGTCTTCCACCATCTTGTTCTCCTCGTCGTCCTCCTCACTTCCATCTGACCCGTCGCCATGCACGTCACTGACAAATTTCCCGTTATATTCGCCATCCTCGCTGCCATCCTGATTGCCGTCCATCTCGTCGTCGACCTCTGCAACGGCGTCACTCGCGTCCCATGATGCAGAACTAGGCCAGCGGCTGTCGCCACCCTCGAGGAGCTCGGGCCAATGGATCTTGACCCACGTTCGCCCATCATTGTGGCAACGCTTGCCCTTCACGAGCTTTGACAACCTGTTGAGCCGGAGAGTGATCCAGGGCGGCTCGGCCATACGCCCCGACGTGTAGCCGTGGCGTTTCCCAAATTCAAGCTGTCGACACATCGTAAGCAAGCAGATCATGATCCGTAGTGAATCAACTACCAGTAAGTCATAGAGCTGTTCAAGTACTTGCATAGCCATGGACGCAATGCTGAAGTCCTGCTTTTCCGAAACTTTGAACCAGGCCTCGATGAGGGCTAACGCGCCGTCGTCATCACCACTGCTACTCGGAGCCCGCGACATATAAAACGCGACGCGTGGGCGGAAGGAGGCCTGGCTGGTATAATCAGTAGATGAGAGAGCGTGGAAAGGCCACGCATGCATTGGACATCTCCGCGTCGTCTTTGCCTCGTGATCAACATCAAACGCGCGTCTCGCTTGTCGGACAAGGATTAAACGCCATCACGGCACCCTGAGGCACACAAGTGATGCTCAGCAATGTACCTGCGCAAGCCGCGATCGGGTTCCATTCGTATTGTTCTCACACGATACGACCAGTACATACGGTCTCAGTCGAATTCGAGTCCAGACGATTCCAGGGCGCGGCTTCTTGACACCTCGTTTGAATTTGCTGCTCCATTGACTCATGGCTAGTCCGACCACGCTCGCGACATTGCTCGATTAATCAGTTCGTACACGTCGTTCAGTAATATTACACGCATACACACGCACAGTCTAGCTGCCCTCGACCACCCCGCATAATATCAGTGTACTTCGTCGCCCCCATCATGTCACCTCCTCTCCTGACCCGACTTCAGGGCCTCGAGCTGTGCGAGTGCTTGTGCCCTATCCGCCTGTGCCCCTGCGACCTTCTCCTCCAGGTGTGCCTTCGTCTGCTCCGTTTTTGCCACCAAATCTTTTGCCGCGACCAGGGCCTCTCGATGCTGCGCGACGAGTGCCCGGAGGGCGTCCACCTTGTCAGCATCCACCTGGGGCGCCTGGTTCATTGGTACCTCCGCCGCAACGTCCAAAGGTGTGTACCTCCTTTCACGAGAGGAGTTCCATCCGGGCTCGGACATCAGTTCTTCCATTGACCGGTATTGATCGCGGTCAATGTCCACGTATGGTATGACGACCTCGACTTCTCGCAGCAGAGTGCGTGGTACCTTGTTCTTTGTCGACGCGTCGTCCGACAACGCTTCGGCTGGGTCATCATCGAATTGTGCGCGGCGCTTCCCGAGCGCGTTTGCCCCGCGCTTTGGCTCAGGAGTACCCGCGGTAGACTGTGACCTCCGAGCCGCGGACGAGACGGACGAGGCGGACGTTCGAGGGACATGCTCCGCGTCGTCTTTATCGCCCGTCCCCGTTCCACTAGTGTGCTCTGCAGATTCTAAAGTATCATTGGCGTTGTTCATCAGGCTATTGATACGACGACACTCACTGCTGACATATCCGCTCAGTGAACGGTTGTCGAAGAAGCATCCTTTTCGCCTCTTCTTGCACTCCTCGCATTTGGCGCTACCTTCCAGCACGACGCACGGACGCGCAACATTCACTGCAGACTTGCAGTAGTCACACTGTTGCAAACGTTGTCATCATCATATTTTGGATGCTTCCATGCAAAAGCGCACCTTTTGTCCCGCTCGCAGCCGATCTCGCGCGTACTCAGCAATTGGCTCTCTCGAGCCCGCAGTGTTGTCCGCCCTTCCCTTTCCCTTGGGACGGGAAGCGCCCTTATTCATGCCTACCGCGCGTCGGGTAACATCTTCGGTAGGGAGCTTCCCGCTTGCAGTCGCTACTGGCTGCGCTTCGGCCTTTGGAAGGGAATCCTTCTGCGCCCTGAACGCGCAGATGCTGCCAGTCAGAATCACTCCCTGGTGATGGAATTACTGGACGTACCTCTCAGTCGCTTGAGCCAAGAGATCGGTCACTGATTCTGTGCAATGTTTTAGTCATCATTTTCTCAATATTAATACTCGGTTTCACTCACGTATGTCCGCTTGATCAAATTCGAACCGTCTGGGAACCGAAGGTAGCGGGTTGGCGGGCGTCATCAAGTTTGACCAATGGTTGGCGATCCAGTCCGCAACCGTAGGATCGACGCGCTCTTTTGTGGTGACCAGTATCTTCGATAAGCCTTCGATAGTCTCCGATACATTCTCCTTGTCGCCCTTGGCCTTCCAGCTTCCCTGAGGCCCCGTATACAGATTTTCATTGGCACCGTATTGGATCTGCGACAGCGACGGTCATTCGACAATCGTTTGTAGGTGTGGTCTTACTTACCACTGCGTCCCGTAGAAATCGCAGACAATTCACCTGATCTGTTCGCGGGCGGTTCTGAAGGCCTCTCAAATGGAGGAGCTTTAATACATTGCGAAGATGGGCAACATGGGGACGTGGCGCCGAAGTCGCCGTCTGGCTTGATGCGGTTATCCTTCTTGGTGCCATCACCTGTTGAACGATTGAGCGTTGAGCGTTGAGCGTTAGATGGGGGATCGTACGGGTCCGATGTCGAACAAGCGCGACAGAGTAAGAACGCGACTTACTAGGCGCCCATGGGCCACGTCCCCACGGGCAGTGATCTCCGCTACAATCTTCGGCGTCCCGAATCGTGTGGCGTCGACTTCGCCCCACTGTTTCTGCAGTCCCATCTCATGTTCTGGCGAGGTCTGTGCAGATTAAATGAAAGGTATCACTCCATCCTTGCGTGTCGCATGAGTATACATTGTCGGTACATAATAATAGTGTCGACATTAGTACTGTCCGGGTCAAACATATCCAAGCACTGGAGATCCTCGTCAGTCCATAACATTAATCAGTGATGTCATAAACAGCCAACAATTCCTCGCATTTACGAAGCTCCTCGCTAATGCGCCGTTCATTTTCCTTGGCGGCGGTGAGCTCCGCGTTGGTGTCGTTGAGTAGCGACTGATATAGCTGCAACACACCGGTGTGCGTCTCAATCAACCGCTTCACCGTCGCCTCGGTGCCATGGATGTTGTCCGTCGGGATGCGGGTTATAGAGCGCATTCCAGGCTGGTAGGAAGGTGGGACTACTCGTCGTTTCGCAGATACTCCAGTGACGCTGCCAGGCCTTTTCGTGAAGGCTTCCCGCTTCGACGTGATGACTTCCCGGGATGCGGACGCTATGGGTGGTGCATCATGAGTCTTAGGATATGGGTGTTCGTGCCTCAGTTTCTTTATAGGAGGCGGAGGAGCCGGTGAGCTTCCCCGCGCGCGTTTTGATTGATTTGCGCGGACGTTCATGCGTTGCATACCGATCTCCCTGCGCAACCCAGGACCCAGCGTTGTTTCATCGTCTCTTCCAGCGGGCACGTCGCAAATAGGCGGCATGGAGGACTTCGCCCGAGCACGGAAATCGTCGCCTCCGGAGCCGGCTGGGGGACAGACGGGCTTTTCAAAGTCTGTGTCGCCACATCAGTCAGACTACATTCGCGAGGAGGCATTGTAGTACGTACATCGCAATTTTGGTGCCAGGGGAAACCCTTGGAACGTGCACTCGCACTGCGTTCTGATACAATTCTCGCAAGCGACAGCGCTCTTGTTCTTGAAAAGGCACACTGCCGTGCCGCCTCCCACAGTCCTACAATGGTCGCACTCGAAGCGTGTCAATCACGGGTCCTAGAGCACCGTATGGGTGGCATTTGCTGTTGACTTACCACCTTCGTGTTCTCCCGCAATATCCGCGCTAGCGGAGAGACATCAATTCCAACCGTTTGCACGTCGGTCTGTGCGATTCGAGCCGGGTCTTCGACGAAGCCGTCTCCTTGATTCGACCCGAGCTCGTCAACCTCCTCTGAATCCTCAACATCATCGCCGGAATCACCCCCTGCCTCCTCGTCGGTGTTGACATATGCGGTGTATGGTTCAGAAGTGTTCGTGGAGGAAGAGCTTTCGTCGTCATCGACACTGTTATCGTCGCGGTCAATAGGATGCTTCTCGTATGCGCCTTCGTCTGCGTCTCCAACTATGGACGAGCCGTCATCCATCCAGTTCGCATCGGTCCCCCTCCCTTGCGCACGCAACTCGACTTCACTACCTTCCTCGTATTCGTCGTCGCTAATACCCCTCATACCGAATTGTTGGAACCAGGAGTATTGTGAGTGCAGCGGGTGGCTCTGTGTCGAAGGGGTCACTTCACGGTAATGGCAGGATCGTGGGAATGTGACGTCGAACCGTCGACACCGACGCGACGCGTCGGCCACGTGCGTGAAACTTAGCGCGCGCCGTGCAGTGAATGTCGGGTGACATGAAGTCGCCAGCATACGCGAGAAAGGACATACGTCGAGGGGGGTGATATGACACTCTCAATACTATCACCCCTACTTAAAAGTAAGGCGCTATCATGCGTCGCTTCTCGGGACTTAGCCACCACTGCAGCGACACCTTTTAAGTCACTTCCACACACAAAAAGTCACCGCTTCACGACTATTTCTCAGATGTCTGGATGCATCTTCGTCCTTTGCTGTGAAATCTCTCTTGAGACGTCCAACTCGGCCCACTCTTAATCGTTGCACCGGTAGCGACTCTGTAGCTGTCTTCGTCGGGTAGCTGCGTAATTAGCCTGTGCTCCTTGCGATTTCGTCCCGACACCCTGAGCAGACATGTCTAGTGTTGCATCGCTTGCGATTGATGCACACAGGTGTTGTTCATGTACAGCGATATGGTACGATTGCTACTGTACATGACGCCAGTAGCAGCGATCCTCGAATGTGGCACCCATCACTTAGTACACCCAGGCGTATGCGTAGACCCACTCCGCGGCACGATCCAACCATAGATTCAAGATGCAACGGATGCCAAATCCAAAGAAACCAAACGCGGTCAATATGCGAGCATTACATATACATTTACACGTCACATCATCAGGGTACATTTCGTGACGGTGTTCAGTCTGCGTTTCTCCGCCGTGTCAACGCACGTTGACCCTCACTGACCATACCAAGTCAGCCTAAAGCAGCATTCCGAGAAGGACCCGCGGCGCCTGGGCCCCCTCGGTCCTGCGATTCAGCTTGGACCGCTTCGCGATGCGACGGGTGAGTTCTTGCGCCGCTACCTTCAGTCACCGAGGGAAACGTCGCACGTACCCCCACCGAAGCCGGTGCAGACGCGCCTCCCGCAGGTTCCTCTGAGAGCGTAGTGCTCGTGTTCTGTCGCTCTATTGTCGCCAGATAATCTTCCAGGTTCTTTTCTTGCACGCGCATGACGTGAATCCGCGCCTCGAGGGATCGGAGCTCTTCGACTGCCGCCAGGTACAGCCTCGTTCCGCTGTAAACGTCCAGGCGCCGGCCTCCAATTTCGCGACTGCCAACCGGTGACATGACGTCAAATTGCGACGGGCTCTGTGTCTGAGTGCCGATGGATGTCTTAGTCGAAGGTTCGCCCTCCATCACGTCTGTGACAATCAACCCCTCCACTCCGTCCAGCTCCCTTGTGAGATCCGCGCTCTCCATGTCCTGCTCGTCCATCGCATCCTGGACCTGGGAAACGCTCCGTTCGACCGTCATAGGAGGTGATGGGCTTTGTTCAAGGGCCGCCACGCCAGAAGACTCACTCTCGCGCATGGTGATTGTGTCTCCTTGTGTGTCCTCGGCCCCATCGTTGACACCCGTTATTGCAGAGTTTCCCAGGGCGTCGCTCGTCGACAAAACGGACGCCGTCTTCACCGGGGAGCTAGCTGTACCCGTATCAAAGCCCGGTGATCGCTCCTCTGGTTCCAATCGCGCCCTCTTGGCTGATCCTGTAGCAGAGTATGTTACATATGGTCAGAAAACAATGCACGCGCAGATTTATCTCCCCATCAGCAACGCACCGTCGACGTCTACGCTTTGTAGAACATGACCAGTCTTGTCGCATTTGATGCCCCGGTCGAGGCATTGGCGGCACTCCGCCGCCCCTGATTCTACATTGCAGAGCGTGTCTGCTGCCGATGCGATACAATTGCTGCATGACTGTACAGTTGCGACTTGTTAGTTCTGGTACATCGGTGAACTCGGGTATGTACCTGGTCGGCGCTTGTTGAAGACCCGGTATGGCCTTCGTCCAACTCGGCGGCCTTTCTCTTCATTGTTGATACAGCGAAGCCGGGGCGACCTGGAGTCGCAGCAGCTTCGGCGAGTCGGAACTTCTTAAGAGGAGGGCCGAACTTCGCAGGTCTCCCGTCTGGCCCTAGGGACGGTGGGGTCCCAGTAAGCCCCGACTTGGCGGCCTCCCCCTTTCCGTCGCTGTTCTGACGTGGCTGTGACGCGTCATGCTTCAGGTTAATGTACATTCGTCTTTGTGACTGAAACAACTTACTGCTCTTTTCGGAGGGCCAGTGCGCGTGTATAGCACTGAGTACGTTGGAAAATTCGCACTCAGCCAAACTTTGTAGTTCGGTGTCGCTCGTTCCAGTACCAGATGCATAGCCTCCTTGGCAGCGTTCACCAGAGCCTCGGGGTGTGGCTCAGTCGGGTGATCCCCGCGATGTGCAATGTACAAATCCTGTTGATAGTTCAGCCCCTGTAAATGATATTTTTCGGCGGTGAGACACTCGTACGTGTAGATCTTTGTACTGTGCAACCCAATTGTGGAGCGCTGGGCCTCCGTCCGGCACAGGCGTGTCCCGGATGTAGTTACTAAACTTTTCGATCGGCGTGAGCAGTCCAAGTCCAGACATTCTGGGGCTAAGAGTCAAGTAAGGATGAGTAGAGAGGGTAGATGTCGCGGGAAGCCTTGCACGGGTCGCGGAAAGTTGATCGGTTCGGTCATGCCTTTTATGGGCGACAATGCCCCGGATTAAGCGCCTTTGTGGCTAACGCCCTGTCTCACGTGATATAGATCGTTGTCGCAGACAGGCAGCGCGATTGGCGTCGCAGGACGTGTGGCATGCCCGTGATCATTGTTCCCTGCATTTTTGGTGCACAGTATCGCCCATGCTATCTATGCAGCTAAGTGTGACAATCCCACTGCATCCAATGCAGTACTACGAACCCTCATCTGCCTCGAGCGACCCATCCAATTGCGCCGTAATCTTGCGGATATCCTCAGCCTGTCGCTCCAGCGTCCCGATAGTTCGACGGAGATCTCTCAGTTCGACAACTGCGGCGCGATGGGCGAGATCGAGGGATTCGTTGTCGTTGTACGTGTGACCCTCGTACCGCAGATTGGGTCTCGCTTCATGCTGCACGGTACGGTCGTATGAGCCTACATCCATCGCTTCTGGCTGGGCAGAGGCTGCGCTCTGCGTTTCGACGAAAGACTCCGGAGTCTCCCAGGTTGTGACGTCGCCGCTCATGGACACGATTGCCACGTCATCCAGGCGCTTTCCCGCAGATCTTTCTTCATTGGTCATCTCCGTCAGCTGTCGCGCAATCACGGTAAGCGCAGGCGTACCGTTGTAGTATCTGGGTGACAGCGAGAAGCCGTCCCAAAAACACCGTCGCTTGTTATAACGACACATCTCGCATCTAGTGCTACCTTCTTCAAGGTGACAGTAGATTTCGCCCCACTTTAGGAAGCAACGGTCACACTGTCCGTGATGATCAGTCGCTCAGTTTTTCAATTCAAATCGGAGCAGACTTACCCTGTGATTCCGCTCGTATGCTTCGTATGCGCGACTCACCATCTCATCCACCTTGAGATCATTGGATGTCGCATCTGTCGCAGGTGCTTCCCTAGTCTGTTCTGCTTGCCGTTTCCTTTGCTCTCGCGAGGTAGGCGGTTTCGTTTCCCGTGCCTTCGACGGGTTTCGACCCTCGAGACGTGAAAATGCCACGGTCTTGTCCTTCTTCATACCACCAACCCTTGAAGGTGTCATCACTGGGCTGGGCCTGACGGGAAGCTTGTCGAGGACGGAAGCAAATATCTGCACGAATTCCTCTCTGGCG